ATCTGAGATGTGTCGAGCGACAAATCTCGATTTCGGACGTGGATAACAAGCGACACGGCTAATGGAAGTGCTCCGTCTTTTGTGTCAGTTTGATCCAACGCTCTCACCCAAATATAAAGAAACATGGAACACAAAACTTTTCGATTTGTATTAAGAAAATAAGGACAAGTCTTTTTATTGCTTGCTTCTTTGCATTATTTCAACATTAATTTTAGTTTACTGCCATTTTGAATAAAAACTTTCCAATTTTTCCATGGATAAATCAAAACAAATCTCATGAAATTAATGAAGCAAAAATCACTTATTTCACAGTTTAACAAGAATTATTGCGGAAAAATAAATATTGACAGTTATAATAGAATTAAGAATTAAGACTAAAATAAAATAGCAAAGCAATAATAATCTGTAAATTTAAGCTACCACTAAGAAATGCATTTTATTGCCATTAACAATAGAAAAGTCAACAATTAATGTGTGGATTTAAAATTTGCACAAAGGAAATATCTTGAGCGGATAAAAATTTTATTCAATTTAAGAGGGAAAAATTTTTATCATTTCTATTTTACGGCTGAAAAAATTTTATAGAGAGTTTTGTTGACCTTTTAAATAAGCGAGCTGAAATTTTTACTTATTTATATTTTAATATGGACCAAAGTTTGGAGTTATTGCTAACCGAGTTGTATAAACTGTTGATTTATTGGCGACCCTCTCATCCGCTCTCATCATACAAACTGAAATGGTCCAGCAATCGTTCCGTATAACTTGTCATTTCTGGTTCTCTCCCTCTCTGCCTCATCATCCTCGGCAGTGCGAGATGAGATGATTAAATAACTCATCTCCGCGTGCGTATGTGTGTGTGTGTGCGTGCGGCGGAAATTCATCTCTCAATATCTCTTGCAGGAGCGGAGAACGGCCCGGCGCGCGGGTCGTCATCAATAACAAACACGCTCCCCCTTTTCCAAAACATTTCCCCGGGGCGTACTCGCGCCTCGTAGGCCGAATAATAGCACAAGAGACGCAGCCGCCGCTACTTTTACGACAATGCGTGTCACAGCACCACTGACCGACTTTCCGCCTCGCGCAATAATGGACCGAAATTTTTTTCGTCTTGAAAAATTAAAATAACCGCAGCGAAGAACTGCGCGCGACAAACTGTTAACTTGGTGACAACAGCAGCTGAATTTTTTAGGGGAAGCAGCCAAGAAGTTGGAGAAAATTGTTTCAAGTAAAATCAAATTTAATATTCGCTATGCTGCATGCCGCTGCATGCAAACTTTATATTTAGAAAACTACATAAATTATTTAAATGTTTTAATTATTACTGATTTGACACTTGAGTGAAAATTCTTCTTTCATTCAAATTTCAAAGTTTTAATTTTCACAAGACGCAAAAACTAGGACTTTTGTTTAGTTCACAATTAGTTATCCAAAAGCTATTCAAGATTACTGGATTGAAACTCGAGTATTCCTTGATAAATTTTATCACAGGACTTTTTTGTGTTTTTCTGCCGGTGTTTAGTTATACGGAGAGGAAAAATAAATCTAAATGTTTCAGCTGCGGGCTGCAGGCGCTGCAGTCATAATTCATGAGCATTCTGGTGCGTGATCGAGAAACGGTATTGTTTTTTTTTCAGTAAATAAATACCAGCAGAAAACACAATAAAGTTTACTTAAATTAACTGAGAAAGAGCCAAGTTTCAATTCAACAAACATGAATTTCCATCTTTTCAAGGAAGAAATTACAATTGAGAACCTTTTTAAACAAAAGGTTGCTACTATATTTTTTTTATTGCATCAATACTCTGGTACAAAATTAAAATTTTTAATTTTATTTACTTATCAGCAATACTAAAGCTTTAATTAAAAAATTTTAATTACAGTGTTGGGATTGAAACAAAAGTAATTAATAAAAATATTATGCAAGAGAGGGATAAAATTTAATTTTTAAGCCGTATACGTCTTGTTGCCTTAATTTTTTAATAAATATGCTTCTACAAAAATGATTTGATTTTTAATATTGATGGTTTTAAAGTGAGAGGCCAAATTTTTAATTAATTAATTATTTTATAAGTGTGAAGATTGTAAAGAAAAAATATTATGTATTGAGTTTTGGAGTTTATTTAAAATTTTAGATGACCCCCCCCCCCCCCACCCAATGCTTTCTCTAATTACAAAAATAAACAATTCAATATTTGAATAAATAATCAGCAAATACTAGATGATTAAAGAGTATAACTTTAGTATAAAATATATATATATTTTCTAATAATAAATTAAATATTAATCTTTTGAGAAACTTCGAAAATTAAATTTTGTCACAATTTTTGTTGAAATTATTTCATACAGTTTAATGAAATATAGCTGCAGTGAGCTGCAGGATATTTGTTTTTTCTGGGAAGAAAAAAACTCACACAATCCATCGAGGAACTGCCGTTTTTTTTTTTAAACTGAACATAAATAAACCCTCAATCTACTACAAATTAATTACAATTTAAATTTAAAACAAAAAACTATCACAAACTATTCACTTTAATATTTTATCATTATTGTTTATTCCGAAAGAAATTGAGAAAAGAAATTGGTAGGAAAAATAAACCAAATGTGACGAAACCTGCGGCAAACAAGTTAAGCACCTGAGGAAAGTAAAAAAGGATATAAAAGCAAAGAGAATGTGTTGCTTATGTAACCGCTAAATATCAAACTGCATCAGCTTTTGTGTACAAATACAAAAAGTTTTCACGCAAAAAGAAAATTAATTAATCTGGTTAGGTGCACATTTCTCGTGCGCACTTTCAGCCTAATTAGGCGTCCGGTTGAAAAGAGGGCTTTTCGACGCGCGGCCTCTTTCTGCATTCGCATAGGGTGCTCTAATTAAGACTAATTGACGCGAATGCAAGCCCTCAGGCTGTGAGTGCCGCTCACTCTTGTGCTGATGCCGTGTCGTCGGAAATGGAGGGAAAATGAAATTCTGCGGCCGCGACCTGCATTCGTAATATCTCTGCACTTCCGACTCTCCTTTCTCTCAAGGTTGGATTATGTGCTTAATTACAAACGAGACTTTCGATAATCCCTCCCACGCCTTTCTTCGCAAACAAAAAGACGTGACCAGGTTTTTTTGCAAGCATTGGATTGAAAATAGTTTTTCCACTATACAATGCTGCGCTCTAGTTAAATTTACGTAATAACTTTTTTGAATAAATAATTTAATTTTTGGAATTTTATTTTCCACCCTGTTAAATTTTCACTCGGCTTGCAAAATTAGATGAACACGCCAATTTTGGAAATAAAATTCATGAAGGTACCAAAGCTTAATGCGTCTCTGTTGTTGCTTTGTTTTTTTGCAGCTGTTTGCACGCACGAATACAATTCAATTTCAATTAGCACAGCTTTCAAAAAGAGAACCGCTCCACCCATGCTTCACAAACGCGATAATTGCAAATTCCATAAAATGCCTTTTGCCGACCTCATAATGCAAAAATATTGCTGTCTGTGAATAGCACTCCAAATAATTTGGAAACTAGCGAATAACTGCGAACAAAGCTAATCAAATTTTGTTTTGTGACAAAATTAAAATTTGTTTAGTAAATTTTCTGTTTTGGGAGAATTAAAAAAAGTTTTAAAAATGAAATAAAATTTATTTTCTTATTGGATATTGTGCTCATTTTTTTTTTATCTTTACTCAAAGGAGTCTGAAAAGTGACAATGAAATATATCAGGTTGGTGGGTTTACCGCGGTATTTGTAACTTTTGAATTTATAGCAGACATCTCGACATCTGCTAGTTTTAATTCCTTTCTTCATTTTTTTTTTCTTTTCAAATTTTATTTTGAGAAGAATAAATAATAATAGAGAGAGGCGGTGAAATATATTACGATGATCCGATCAGCAGTATACTGGCGTCTGCTCATCAATCAAACGTTGGACGAAATAAAAAAGAGAGACAGCTGGAGATAGTGTGAAATCATTTGCACAATTTTTTGGACTGATATTGAAGAAAGAAGGAAATGCTTTATTGTTGTGCGGAAAAACGAGAGATGGAAAATGTAAAATCTACAGTGACTTCTTTCCTTTATAAATTTCATGGTCTCCCTTATCGTAGATAATTCTATGTTCCTAAATATTTGTAGAATAAACTAATAATTATAAAACTAATAATAACTCTTTGCAAAAGGCAATGCTTTTTTTGCCTAGTAATAAGAATAAAAGCCAAGTCAACCAAGGCTCACTGCCTCGGATGGGGTCTTTTTGATCTCGGAAGTATTAGCATAATTCTTGCTAGTGTTGATGCCGTTTTTCCAGCAATTCCTTTTTTTTTCAAATAAAATTGTTTTCAAACGATTGAATGTAGAAATGTGATGTAACAATTATTACAAATAAACAAAAATAATAATAATAGTAACAAAAAATTATCTAATATTTATAATTTGCGATAATTTGTAGCATAATTTTTTTCGAACCAGTTTTATATGCTATCAACTTTGAGAAACATTGAGTTTGAGATGAGAAAAAGCATAATGTTAATTGGGCAAAATATCATTTAACCCTTTTTGTATTTAATATTCAACTAAATACAGTATATTTGAACAGTTCCAATATTGCGAATTTAAATATTTTCGCCATTTTGAGCCAAATTAAGTGGTTTAAAAATTGCCTTAAGGCCACCTCTGTTTTTTTTAAATGCCCACTATTCTGCTTATAAAAGTTACATTTTCTTTAAAAATTCCAATCTCAAATCTCAATCTATATATCTCCTCTTTTTTTACAGTTCACGATCCATTAAGTTGTGGGTGTTAAAATAACTATTTGACATTCCAGTCCAGAGCGGAATGCGCAATGGTATGTGCGCTAAATCATGAAAAGGCTGTTCTGGAATTTCCTATTCTCGGCGATAGAAAAATTATTAATTTGCCAAAAAAATTTTTTTTTAAATTTCGCATTTTTATCATGTACGCAGTTTTCGCTAATATAATAATTGGAATGCACATTAAAAATGTTAATTACCTTAGTGTGGGTGGCGCGCGCGGCACAAGTCCGTGTAGCTAGGTCTGGTGGCGCGGTGACGATTGAGGGCGGCAGCGCTCAGGGGTGCTCCGAGTGCCCCTGTCCATCGGGGTGCGCGCGCAACCACTTTTCTTTTTGTCCTCCATTCATCCACACACTGACTAGCGGAACAAAGAGGAAGAGAGTCTGCGGACAGTTTGCCGCACAATGAAAACTCGTCCGCTTTTGTCCTCTTCTCTTTCGCACAATGGTCAAGAGGAGATTTGTAATTGTGACGAGTGGGCACAAAAAAGAAAAGTAGTGCGTTGGATTGCCCTGTATGAAACATCAGATCTGCCACTCTGCGCTGCAGGCATGAACGCCGAGGAAGAGATCGTCGGGCAAAATGATGTTGCAAAGTTTGCATTTTTAATAAGAGGGGCAAACTCGGCAAACTGCACTGCAAACAAACAATGGGAATTGCCCTTGGAAAATAATTTTTTACAAATATGCGTAAAGCTGCAAAAATATTGCAAAACTTTATTTTGTTTTATAATACTAAAATTTTGCCACTTTAATTGAAAATTTAATTATTCAGTAGAAGATGGTTCGTGTTTTGTGGTACCCAAGATGTTCAACTGCATCAGCAATTCGGCGCCGCTCAGTCCAAAGCCACTGATCAATTAGCACTGGATTCACCATCCGGTTGTGTGTCCTCTCCGAGGTCACCAATAGTTGATAGGCACGATCGACAACCGCAATCGAACAACCTCGGATTTCTACTTCTTCTTCACTTCCAGGTGGCAAATCCACACCTTGAAAATGTTTAATTAATAAATAATTTATAAAATACAATTTTCCAATTTTTACCAAAAAATTTTAAATTTTACTAAATTACTCACCTTTTGCAATCTTTTCTTGCAACTGCGGTGAATACTCGAGGCACCCGTAGTATACCAGCATCTGCGGGACTCTATAATCAGCAAACATGGTGATCTGGTCAATGTCCTTCAACCGACCTTGCCCTTGACCTTCAAAACAAGACCACACGTCGGCCACCAAAATCTGGGCTCGTTTGTAAATGGCCACTGAAATAAAATCACAAAATCAGTTCCAAGCTTGTCAAAATATAAGGAATTAGAAATCACCTTTTTGACCTTTGTAAGTCGCTTCGTCCCTGAAGCAGGGAAAGGAAGAGACGATCAGGTTGAGCAAATTAACAGCCGATTCCTCAGCTTGTTTGATTAGGTTGGAAAAGGAGCCGCTAAATTTGGTCGTCAGTACATTTCCAACCTTAAATTTAAACATCAAATTAATAAATTAATAATAATTTTTTGAAACCACTGAGCAAAATTATTACCTCTTGAAGACATTGGCATCTTTCTTTAATCAATGGCACCTCTGTCGTTGTACTCGAACGGAGAATTTCCTTTAACTGCTGCTCGGTCAGCTTCGAGTAGACCTCAGGTCGCCAGACATCAACACCTTCCTTGACACATCAGCCATTTTATTTAATTTAAAATCATGCCTCATCTTAAGTCACCTTTTTGGCCCTGACGAGGGCAGCGCAGAGTGCAAAGTAGCCTGTGTAGGGAACATCATCATAAACCACAGTCCACTTTGGCTGATTGTCTGGCGTCCAGAAACTGAAATTCAGGGCGTCCATGACCAATAGGGCATCCAGGCACTCAGGATCGTTAGGCTTAGGGTGCACTGGGCTCTCAGCAAACCCTCGAATGGAAATGGAGCCTGCTTCAAGCGCTTCTTCCACCTAAATTAAAAAATTTTACTTTTACAAATTATTAATAAAAAATATCTTACGGCAGATGCCAGTTTCTGTATTCCATCAGGAATAATTTTGACATGTGATGCCTTCGAGGCAATAAATTCGCCGGAATCTCTTGGGGTCAGAACCTCATTCATTGTGAAAAATCGCTTATTATTTGGAAAAAATGAAAAATTATACAGAGAAATTTTGTTTATTTTATGATACGAACGCAGAGCCACAAAAAGATTAACTGATAGTGATTTCATAAAGCGATTTTCAACAAATTTTAACTTGTTTGCACTATGTAATCTCAATAATTCTTTGGTGATGACCTATGAGAGATGAGTGATGTGATATTGTGATGTGGTGCTTTTTTGCTCTCTTGATTGAAAATTGAAAAGCCGGGTGTTAAATGTGGTTATGGAAAGGAGCTGGAAAGGAGCTTAGCATCCAAATGTACTACAGACATTTTTCACTTTTATTTTATACAAAAGTCCAGATTTTGTTCAAATTTTATTTAAACTTATTGATAAGTTTTTAAAACTCTGATATTTTTTGATGCTCTTCAATGCTCTTATAATAGTAATAGGTTTTAAGTGCAATTATTTAACTCCTTTATCAACACCCCTACTGCACTGCAGCTGACTTTGGCACACGCTTGTGTTTACAATTTTACATACATCATCGCCGGACGGCTTATCCTGGGCTTATCGGCAGCCGAATTCGACCTTTGGACGCTTTTTTGACGCGTCCACGCCCTTCACGATGAAGGTCACAATAAAAAACCTTCAGCAGGAGTCTTTCCTCGTAGAAATCGCGGCCACAAATACGGTAAAGTTGGCGTCTTTTGAGTTTCAATTCAAAGAACTGGCAATTTATGTTTTAAAAATTTACCTTGCAGGTCAAGCAATTGAAAGAGAAAATTGAAAAGGAAAAAGGTGCGCACGAATACCAAGCGTCGCGGCAAAAACTTATTTACTCCGGTAAGAGATTTTTTAAAAGCTATGATAATCTTCTCTAGCCCCACATTCTTGTATGTTATTCTTAGGAAAGATATTAGAAGACTCTGATGTGATCGGCTCTTTGAATATCGACGAGAAAAAGTTCGTCGTGTGTCTGGTTGCTAAGCCAAAAGATGCACCCCTTCACGTGACCCCATCTGACCCCACCGATGTGCCCACTGAAGAGGAAGCACCCCCAAGGTTCATAGATTAATAAAATAAATTTTTTAATTAATTCAATCTTGTTGATGTTGTTCATAAAATTTATTAAATTTAAATTCCAGAGTCGAACCTGAGGCTCAAGCCGAGGAGGCTGGTGCTGCAGGGGAATCTCTGCTTCTGCCCCCGGACGAGTATCGAACCATGGTGCGGAACATAGTCGACATGGGGTACCCGGAGAGTGAAGTCAGGGAGGCTCTGAGGGCGTCGTTTAACAATCCAGACAGGGCTGTTGAATATTTAATCTCAGGAATACCCAATCTCAACCTCGAAGACCCAGTCGAGCAGCAACAAGAAAGGGCAGTTGACGTCGGAGATCTTGAGACAAGGCAGCGACCAGAGGGTTTGCTTCTTTTCTTTATTTTATTTCTTAAAAAATTTCAACCTTTGATTATTAAAAACAATTTGGTTTATTTAGATACAATGACTCGTTGCTTGCTTTTCAAAAATAATCTGCAGATCTAATATTTGGGCAAATTTAACCGAAATTTTCTATTCGTCTCATTTGATATTATGTTTGTGATTTTAAGGCCGAGAAGACCCCTTGGAATTTTTGCGTACGCAGCCGCAATTTCAACAGATGCGTCAGGTTGTGCAGCAGAATCCACAACTGCTCAATGCGGTGCTCCAACAAATCGGCCAATCAAACCCAGCTTTGCTCCAAGTTATCACAGAAAACCAAGAGGCCTTTGTACGCATGATGAACGAGCCTGCAAGTGGTACTATCGCCATTTCTTTTTAAAATTTATCTCAAAATTATATATATTTTTAATTCAGGAGAATCCACACCAAGACGAGCAGCAGCAGCCGCAGGGGCTTTGGCTGAAGGAGAGGCTGGTGGAAATGCCCCCGTGCGCACTATCCAAATCACGCCCCAAGACAAGCAAGCTATTGACAGAGTGCGTTTGTATTTTAAAATTTAAATTTCCCTGAGCTCATGTGATTTGAAAACTATTTCAGTTGAAAGACCTAGGCTTCCCGGAGCACCTAGTGGTGCAAGCGTACTTTGCGTGCGACAAGAACGAGAATCTGGCTGCTAACTTCCTGCTCTCGCAGAACATGGACGACTGAGCCATCGAATCCATCAGAACCCCCTGCTTGTTAAGAAAATACACACTGTGTTGGTTATTTTGACTGAATTGTACATAACTCTGTGTAATTTAGAGTGCCGGATTAATTTTACTTCAACTAACAGGAATAAAAAGAAAGAATGCACCTAATTTGATGCAGAGATTTTTTGCATTTTGGACTTGAACCAGCAAATTTAAGTGTAAAAGTTTTATAATAATTATAGTATTTTTTAATAATATTGTGACAGCAAAAAAAATTGGCTGTGTAGAACAACATATTATGTTAGAAAAATGATTCTGGAATTTATTAAGTGCTATAATTTAAATGTGTTATTTTAAAATCTAACACGATCGTGCCGACGTAGCTAAAAATATAATAAAAAGAATCTGGAATGAATAGAATAAATTATATTGTTACTTGGATTTTATCCGGAGGAGGCGCTCGCAGCGCAATTGTGGGGAGTGTGCAAAGAGGAGACGTGCGCTTGCACCGAGAACCGTTCCTTATTCGTTTCTTTACCTGCAGTCTTAGAAGAATTGGACCTTCCGATCTCCACACCCCTCCCTATGACTGCAGCAGACAAATAAAAGGGCAGCTGAATCAACACCTTCAGTCGAAGGGGCAGATTGCGGCGGGCGGCGCCTTTTAATGTGACAAATTCTCCCTTATCAGGTAGTTCACCGGATGGAAACATTCCAACAATGAGTTGTTATCAATTCCGATTACACTTTTCGGCGGGAAATTTTCAATCGGCTGCGCAAACAAAGGACGCGGGCTTTAGAGGCGCCGTCAACAAACTTGTTGCTTGGCCTCGTGTGTTTTTTATTCGCCTACTGTTTACCTAGTCATGTGATTTGCATACTAAAGGTTGTCTTTCGTTTTCAGGTAGCTCATGTCTCAGGGTGGCTACGGCAAGGCGCCGACCGTCGGCGCCACGACGGCGGCCGAAAACCAGAGACTCCTCGGGGACAACCGGCGCACAAACGGACTTGTACAGAGGGTCAACAATGATGGTATTATTATTTTAATAATTTATAATATTACTATCTTATTATTTCATATAAGAAGTATTTAATCTACTTAAAATGTTGTTAAAATTTTATAAAATTTTAATAGTTGAAATCAGGTTGAAATATTTTTTTTTTACTGATGTCTCTTGAATTAATTAAAAATCCTTGTTCACCATAAAATATTTTCTATACAATATACCGACAAATGATTAATAAAATTTTATTTCAAGAATTGAAGTAGGTTAGGGAGTATAAAGAAAACAAAGTTAGGATAACCTTGCTTGTTTACATTGTATTGCATTGATAGGATTTCATTGTTTACTTGTAAAAAAAGACATCAATCATATAATTCATAATATAAATTTTTAGAATGGTTTTATTTCCTACGGATTAAATATAAATAATATTTTATTGAAAATTTCCTTGCTACCTCAAAACAAGGAAATATAATTTTTTGCTTGTTTCGTTCTCTTCGTAAAAAATGTAACCACAGAGAGGAGAGACTTCCACTTTCCTCGTATTTTGGCCTTTGATATTTTCCCAGACATTTATAATGGGGAGCAATATTTGCACGAATCATGAAAGAACCCTCCTTGTTGCCTCGTGTCACCACGAAGAACACGTAAACACGTCTGAAGATTCTGACGCTATTTTACTGTCTCTGACATATTTTAATATTATTATCTCTGGCGAGGCACGAGATAAGTTTCATAAATCAAACTTCAAAGAGACAAGACGGACAATTCCATTCTAAATTTAATTAGGACAACAGTATTTAACGCTTAGATTTCTTGAACAAAAAATATAAAATTATTGAGTTGAAATTTTTGTGGCCTCCCACACTAGCGGAACCAATTCTTCTGTTCTGAATTATATTAAACCAAAAAATTAATCACTGCCAATTTAGAATCAAATTTCTTCCTATCCGTCTATACCACTATGAATTAAATTCTGGAAGCGGAGCAGACGAGACCAATTAAACCCAATCGGCTAGGGTCTGCGCGAGGTCGAGTTTTTCTTTTAGTATTTTTATTGACAGCAACAGGGGAGCGACTGCTGACGCGATTAGGCATAATTCTTCTTCCCTAAGCAGAATGACGAAGTGCGACTCGCTATCTTAACGTGGGTCAAAACTCAAAGGCGACTAACCCGTATTAAACTTCATACGTCTTTGCATTGGGTACATAAAAAATGAATGATTTATGTTTTTTCTTCTAATATCAAGGCTGTGTAATTGAATAAATTTATGTCTGTGTAAAAATTTATCTTTTTTAATAATGCGCCATTTAATTTAATAAATTTTTAATTTTTTTATTATTGCTTCCAAATTATGAAAAAAAAAATTAAGTGCATTTATTTTGAAGGGAAACATTGGATAGTTGGAAAAGAAGGCGCCACCAAAAGATTTTGATCAGAAAAACCTATCTTTTAAAGTGGGCCTCTTTAAAGAACCTTTAATATATATAAATTAACATTATTAGCAAACGACAGGCAGCAAATTATGCAACAATGCAGTGTCTTTAATTATTTCGAACATTTTTTTTTAAATTATTTTCAATAAAATCTCCTTTTTGTCAATAATTTTGATAGGCCTAACCAGCATGATGAGATAAAGCTTTCTATTACTAAAAGACTTGCAAGATAACATTTCTTAAGATCATCAAGCGATTTCTAGATAACTTTTAGTTGCAAATGATGTATAATATTCTTTATTGATTTATCAGAGTTGACTTAGAGGCGATCGATGCCCATATCAAAGATCAAAGATACATCAAACAAAACAAAAAATAAGGAAATAAAGACTACTTTTTTACTTTAAAAATCCTTGTTTGCAACAATTTTGTTATATGCTCATAAGCAACAAAAATTTTATGGAGAATGTTTTACTATTTGTTCATTAATTTTGGTATAAAACATAAAAAAAATTATTCTTTCCTTTTTCTACAATTACGTAGTTTTATTTAGGATTTGTTTAATTAAAATTTTGACACAAGAAAACATTATCTTTACATTTCCTATTTCCTGTCAAAAAAAAAATAAAAAAAAAATGTCAGGAAGCTCGTTAACAAATAATCATCTATGAGACTGGCACCGACTTACATAACATTTTTTAAAAAACAAAATTTAAATCACTTTTAATCACTTGCAGGATCAATCTTAAAATATTCAAGTTGACTTTTCCTCTTCCAGAATAATGGGAAATTACTTGTCATGCTCTTCGGCAGATTATGATAATTAATCAGAGTGGTGGTTGGTGCCTAATGGTGCGTGCGTGTTTGATGGTTGCAGGCGGGGGCCGCGAGGAGACGCTGCGTCGGCTACAGGGGGAGGCCGTCGCCGCGCTCAACCCGCCAGTGAAGCTGACACCGAGCTGGGAGGAAAGCAACCTGCCCGACGAGGAGCTCAACTTCCGCGGTGTCACCATGGAGGTCGCCGACCTGGAAATGAACCCGCCTAAAGACAGGCATGTAACTGATTCCATATTTTATTTCTTTAATAACTTGATTAAGCTCATCCGTATCCGAAGTTTCATTCAAACCCTTTTTCATTTTGTTTTAATGCAGCATTTTTATATTAAATTTACTGCATTATCTTGATCTTCAAGTAGTTAATAAATGACGAGGCCGCTGTATTGCCTTGACTTGTTGTAATTTATTAAGTCCAGGTAAAGCCAACACTTTTCAATTAATTACTTACAATAAATAAACAAATACTCAGATTAATTGATTTAAAATGAAGTTATCCTTGATTTCCATAAACTGTTGAATTATAGCAAAAGAGTAAATCAAGACAATTTTAATTTATTTGAGTTATTTCAATCAGTAGAATTTCTGCCTCTTTCCATTGAGTAAAATCAAATGCAAATTAAACTTCAAGACATTTTTTTTGCAAAAAATGTTTCTCATTTTCTAAATTAAATTTAATATTTGGAATAACTTTTGATTGAGTTTTCCCCCTTGCTTGTGAACTCCACGCTAAACAAATTTAGATCAGTTGATTTGTTGCCGCGAATCAATCAAAGTTTATTAATAGACAGGAATCCATTTGTCAGAGGGAATTTTATTAGCCCGTCTAGCTTGGGATTGACGGGTACGGAGACGGATTCCTGTCGTCTGCGCGTCCCCCTGGTTTATTTTAGTCCCCTCAGGCTAAAGTAAAAATGCACTCGACTACTACACACGTCCCTCTCTTCAGACAGAGATTTCGATTTTTTCCTCCTTTGAATTGAGCTAAACGTGAAAAGGGTTGAAAGTTAAAACTGCGGAGGTTTCGGCAAACCGACTCAGAATTTATCTTTATCCCCATTATTAGGATTTTGAATTGTTTTCAACACGTGTTTGACCGCATAGTTGTAGAATTTGCGACAATCAGCGACAATCACTGCTTTTCTCAATCTCAAAAGTCTAAAATGTGGTTAATCTTTAGTTATTGATAAACCAATTGCCCCAATGCAACTCTTTCAAGAGCAATATTATTCAAATCAAACTTATCTTTTTTTATCTTGTCCACTCTGAAACCTGCGTCCTCGCAAGTCAGAATGTTCCTTTGTTTAGTGTTTGCGTTAATGGCACTAAAATTTAATCAGCGCAAAATGACGAAGGATTTTTTTGCTTAAAAAATGAACTTTAAATCAAAATTCTTTAATTATAAAAATTAGCTGAATCAATTATTTTATTTCTTTGCTGAGAGAATCCGTTGAATAATCTGAAACCGCGTCGAACTCTTGTTATCTCAAGGAAATTCTAGACGGATTTTCCGGCCGCGACTCGACTAGCGGAGACAATTTGCTTGCATTATTTGAGCGGCGCGGCGAACACGTGGTGCTCGCCATGTGTTTGGCCGCACGGGGTCCTGTAGTTTTGAGCGAAGGACAGGGTTGAGTTGCGTGCGCACACCACCCCTTGAGCTTGATCGATCAACGTCTCTCTGACTCACGCCCGTACTCAACCGGTTTTTTAGACAATAGAGCTCCGACCACGTGCTCAAATAAAATTCGGACAGAGATGAAAAGTAGGAATTTTTCTAGCAACCGCATTTCTATTAAAATCCGTGGAAACTCAACAATTTATCGCTATAGTTTAAAAAAAAATAAGGAGTATCCTATTTAATTCTACCCAAATATTGAAATTATTATCAAGATTTTTTTTTAAATTTAAAACTTTTGTTAAATTATTAGCTGTAATAAAATATATTCAAAATTGCTTGCATATCATCCAGCCGACAGGAAATCAATATTTCTTGCTGCAAAAAATTATCTTGAGAGCAGCTATCTGGCTTCTGTCTGTAAGAGAAGTCCACGTTTTTAAATTTGAGTTAATTGGATAAGAATAAAATTATGACACATTTTACAATGTGTCGCTAAAAGTGTTGGCCTGTAAAGAAAAGTCATCCATCAAAATGGGACACTTTAATTTTGAAAATTAGACAAATTTTGTTTTAATATAATTAATAGTTAATTTGTTAAATATTTAAAGATTAAAATTCATTAATTAACCATTTTTTTTTATTTAATCTTTTAAATGTATAGAAAACAATTTGGCAAATTTGAAAATCACATCTAATAAATAATAATAAAATACTATTTGATGAGCTTTTTTTGTCTCTTGTACTTGTTCCGTCGTCCTGCAAGTCAGTCGCTATCTTTAGCGCAAAAGACCGGTTATTTCTTACTCTCGGTGGGGTGGAAAAACCTACCCTGCTGATTAGTCGCAATTCGCAGTAGTTGCGATGAAGCAGCCGGTTGATCAAAGTCCGCTTATTGCGTGGCCGCAGCAGCGTGGCCGCCGCGCTCCGCTGGCCGCCTGCGAGGATGAATTCACCGGCAGTCCTGCTCGTCGACCTCCGACCAACAACGAGCAGCGCGCGGTGCCTCTCGAGAATGGTGTGGCCATCGGCAATGACGACCAACCACCCCTCGATAGGTCCGGAAATAGAGCCGGCTCTAATTATTTAATTTGCTCAATTACAAGAGTCAATTTCTTTTCTATTTTGCTTTCTTCAGAAGAAATTAATTGTCAAATTTATTTATTTTTCCCTCTCCTTAGTTTGAATTGTTGTAATTTAATTGAAATTTTCGTCATTTTGTGATTGCAGGTACAACTTGGTGTATTTTATCTTTTTGTTGCACGGAGTTGGCACTCTCATGCCCTGGAACATGTTCATCACAGCAAAAGAGGTTTGTTAAATATTGTATTCAAAAGCCTGTCAAAAATATTCATTAATTAGCTGGGTCACGTGGTGATAAAGTGGCCATGCCTCACATCGATCCGGATTTAAAAAATTAATATATCAATTTTTACCTTTGATTATCTGAATTTAAAATCTTTTAAAAATTCACTACAAAAAAATAATTGATTTTATTATTTTAATTGACTGATTGATTTTTTTTACTAAAAAATTTTATTTTACATTTTTACAGTACTTTGTTGACTACAAACTGAGTGAAGATTACACGGGTGTCAAAACAGAACTTGCCGCGAACTTCTTGGCATACGTCGGCCTAACTGCACAAATTCCGAACGTGATTTTCAACTGGGCCAACATTTTATGGCAGGGCAAGGGTGAAAGCCTCACCACCAGGGTGGTCTGGAGTCTCGTCATCGAAGTCATCATTTTCATTCTGACAGTTGTGCTGGCCATGGTCGACACCTCGACTTGGCCGCAGACCTTCTTCATCGTCACCATGTGTTCCGTGGCAGCTCTTAACAGTAAGGATTTTTTTAATTCAACAAATTTGAGTGTAATTAATTTTTTCAAATTTTTTAGTGGCAAACGGTGTTTATCAGAACACGGTCTATGGCATGGCAGCTAAACTGCCTTTCAAGTACACAGGCGCAGTTGTTTTGGGATCGGTGAGTTAAAAAAAAAAATAATAATAATAAAAATTACAATTTTGCATAATTATTTTATATTTAATTTAAGTATTGATTGAAAAAAAAGTTAACTTAGATCAAATTATTGCTTGTAATTTATCCCAATTTTAGGGGAAATAATTTTAAAATAATTTATTTTATCGACGGAAATTTTTATAAATAAATTTTCAGAACATCAGTGGCACATTCACCTCTCTTGTGTCCATCATCTCACTTTTGATTGCTCCTGATCCACGAACAGCAGCCATTTACTACTTCATCACAGCCCTTTTTATCCTCCTTGTGTGTTTTGACACCTACTTTGCTCTGCCGCTCAATGTGAGTTGGAGCTTTAAATGGATTATGTAGAGCTTAGATTTTAATAAATAATTTTTTGTTCAGAGGTTTTATCGGTACCACGAGATGGTGAACGAGAAGGAGCAGCAGGCGCGACGTCGCGCCAACCTGGGTCAGGTGACCAACGCACCGCTGTGGCCAATCTTCAAGCAGTGCCTGCCACAGCTTTTCAACATTTTCTTCACCTTCTTTGTCACACTTTCCATCTTTCCGGCAGTCCACGCTGGTAATTAAAAATTGTTTTATTTGTGACAGTGATTTTTGCGGGCTTCTTGATTTTGCTTCTGAAGCCATAGATTTAAGTTCATTGGTGAAACTACTTGAATGCTTTAAAAGTTTGCTAAAATATTAAGTATTTTTTGAATAACTTAAAAATTAGAAGAAGAGCTAGACATAGTTGTTTTAAATTATATTTTAATAATTCAACTAGATTAATTATTTATATTTTTTTTAAATTGCAGACATTAGGCGCTTCGACATGGATTTCTTTATCAGTGAAAAGTTCTTCACTGAAATAACGTGTTTCCTCACGTTTAACCTTTTCGCCATGATTGGCTCGATGACCGCCTCTTGGTTCCCATGGGTAAGTTTTATACTGAAATCATCTAAAACATCTCACTGAAAAATCATTTATGTCAACAGCCTGGTCCGAAGTACCTGGTCGTACCAGTAGTTTTGCGCGTCTTCTTCATTCCCTTTTTCATTGTGTGCAACTACCAACCACTTGGCGGCCGCCTCTTCCCTGTTCTCATCACAAGTGACTGGGCATATTGGATCGCAGCGATGCTTCTCGGCATCACTGGTGGTCACTTCAGTGCCCTTGGCATGATGTACTGCCCTAGGTGAGGACCTTACATATCATTTAAAAATTAAAACAGTTAATTATAATTGTGTATAATAATTATTTTTTGAAAAAAAAAACTAAATTCAAAAACGTTCCATCCTTCTTCCAAAATTTATCAGTGGGATTATTTTTGAAATTCCAAATTTATTTGTAGTTCAATCCAAGCACTAAAATATTAAAATTTTACTTTTTCAGAATGGTGGAGCCGCAACATGCTGTACGTGCTGGCATGTTGGGTGCTGGTTTCCTCATCACAGGCATATTCTCAGGAATTCTCTTCACAATCTTGCCACCTATCTTTGTCAAAAATGTATCATGGCCTGTGTAGTCATTGTTGACATCAATACGCCCCATCTTTAAATCACCCCCCTTTCACATAATTGGGTTTTGGACCTCCACACCTTTTTAGCATTATTGTGATTATTTTTGCAAAATTACTCTCACTAATCACAAAATCATGTATTAGGGGAACAATTTATTATTGAAAAATGGCTCATTACTGGGGCTACGGGGGCTCTTATTCTTTTAGCAATTGACCTGAAAAATGCTTCATATTACTCTTCTATGATTTTTCATCAACTATTTAGTAATAGGTGCATGATTTATGTTTCTGCAATGTTTTTAATATTTAAAACATACTATTATGGTCTTAAAAAATTGACATTGATTATATTTCGAGCTTTTTGATGCATTGTTAAATGTATACTTGAATCTTTTGTAATTGGCTACTTACCAAAATCGTTTTTACTCAACTGTTATTCCAAAGTATCAATTTTGAATTGTTAATATTTAATTTTACGTTTTAAATCCTGCCAAAGTTTCATATCAAATTTGAACGTGAATTTTTGAAGTCGATGAAAAGAAGTCTTTTTTTTAAATTTATTCAGTTTTTTCTTCAAAAAGGAGACAATAAAAACTGAAGCAGTGCCAATGCAACAGAGCAGAAACTTGTACATATTTAGTGGAATTACACACGGGACTGTTGTGCACGCACTCACACAATTGCCTTAACTCGCATGCTTTTGTTTTTATCGTCATGAAGTTGTGCGTTTTTGTATCGGAAAAACTTTATTCAGGCAATTATCGGAAAATGAAGTGGTGTATTGTTTTATCTACTAAACGTGCGAATCACTGTATTGTAACTCGGTTGTTATCTGCTAGTATTCAACAGCATATTGCTCATGCAAACATTATACTTATTGACACAGAATAAAACATGTAATTTTATTAATGAACTTCATATCTTAATTTGCAAATTATACCTCAGATTAAATATTAAAAATTCAAAGCTAAGTAACTAAAATATTTTGTAACACTGCATTGAGAAAGTCGTAATTTTCAGTCATTTTTTAATCGGGGGTAAAAAAAATATGCATAATTTCTTAATACAACCGGACTTTATTATCCAAGTGAAATAAAATCAACCACATGTCCAATTTCAACAAATTGTAAATATATATAACTGTGATTTTCTCCAATCACACTTGTATTATTCTAATTAAAATTAAGAGACTCTATTATATATTTTATTCACATTTTTCAATATAATATAATTACAAAAACTATGGGACAACATTTTATTAATCCTAAAACGTTTATGCAGTGTTGTATTGTACGCCTATAGAAATGCACAAATAAAAGCGTCGCCGTAGAATCCGCGACGCGAAAATTGTCAATGTCTTTTTGCACGTGTGGCAGGCGACGGGGTGTCACTCCCTGGCGAGGGCACAGCCTTGTAGCAGAGCAATTTCAAGAAGAATTGTCGTCAGACGGGCAGGGTGCGTTTGGGGGCAGCGAGTTGTTGCTGAATCTGCTCGATCGACCTGCCCTTGGTCTCGGGCACAATCAGGACGACGAACGAGCAGCCGACCATGCACACGCCAGAGAAAAAGGCGAACGCCCCCGCCGAGCCAAGCGCGGCCACCAAACTCTGGAAGCCCTTGGTCACGGCGAATGCCAGCGCCCAATTAAAGGAGGCCACCAAAGCGCTGGCCGGACTCTTGGCTGACGCCGAAAACAACTCGCCCATCATCATCCACGGAATTGGTCCAAAACCAATCTGCAAGTAAAAGGAAAAATAATTATAAATTAAAACTGAAATTATGGAGGAATAAAAATAATTTTCCACCAAATTTTAAATATTCTATTTTCCCAAAAATTTTTAATTTCAATAAAATTTAAAATATTTGTACCTTATTGAATATATTTTAATGTAAAATTTTCTTACCGAAAAGACAACAATGTAAATTGCAACGCTGAGGACAGGAAGCCAATTGAGCCAGTCGGGCTTTTCCTCTCCGGCATCCACCGTGTAAGCAAACGAAAATGAAAGAGCGGCCAAGCATACGGCCATGGCGGCGGCCGAGAGCAGCAGGAGAGGTTTGCGTCCAGCCTTGTCCACCATCATTGTGGCGCACAAAGTGGCCAAGACCATGACCCCAGCGATGACCACGCTGGCCACTCCGGGCGAAAGGGCACCGCCAGCCTCTTTGAAGATGGAGCCCGAGTAGAAGACGACGGCGTTGATGCCGGACAGTTGCTGGAAGGCCATCAGGCCCAGGGACACCAGCAGGGCGCGTCTGGTTGCGGCGTCCGAGGCGAGGGTCAGCAAAGTGCGACGGGCGGAACCGGCGTCTGAAGCGTCCGCTTCCTGCGCCGCTGATTGAAGGATCAACAGCTCCTTCTGGACGTCACAGCCCTTTCCACGCAGCCACTGAAGAGAGTTTTCTGCCGCAAATTTACGACCCCTAAAACACAAATTAAAAAAACAATAATTAAAAAGGAATAAAATATGAAATTTACTAATTTTGTAATGTTAAAAATGTTGACTTGAAGTTAAAAAAAAATACAATATTTTCCATAGAAAAAATGCTTTGTTTTGCGTACTAAACTTTTCTATTGCATACAAAATAGTTCAATAAAACTATTATTTTTCCCCGAATAGGGAAAAAATTAAATTTGATTAAATTCTGTAAAAAAAAACATATTGTTTTTGTTTTTTAATATTGTAATATAAAATTGAAGATTGAAAATACCTAATATCATTTGCTATTTACTTGCGCACGTATTTAAATATTGGCTTTGGTCCATTCCTTTAAATTTTATATAATATTTATACGTTTTTAGAATGGAACTTTGTTTTATTTTTCTCACTTAAAATTTTAAATATTATTATTATTATTTTGTGTTGAAATGTGTAATTTTTCAAGATACTAATTTTGTTATGATTTCTTATTTAAATATGTCTCTGTAAAGTTCTTTTACCTTGACAAAAGGAACTGAGGTGTTTCAGGCATCCAGGCAAAGGTGATGGCGAAAACTGCCGGTACCAGGGCGCAGGTGAAGGCAAAGCACTCCAAGGGGGCCCAGGCGCCGATCACATAGGCGAAGAGAATGCCGACGACCAGCTGCAGTTGGAAGAGAGTGCCAAGGGCCCCTCTGCACTTCTGTTCGGCGATTTCGGCGCAGTAAACTGGCGCCGCAACGCTGACGGCGCCGGTGGCGAGGCCGCCGATGAAGCGGCCGACGTAGAGGACGCCGACGGAGCGGCCGAGCGCCACCATCAGCCATGACGTCAGCAGGGGCAGCGACAGGAAGGCGAGGAATCGTTGCCGGCCGAAAAGCTGGCTCAGGGCGCCTGCAGGGGCTGCACCCAGGAGGGCACCTAAGGTCAGCAGGGAGCCGAGCCATGAACCTTCGTCAGCAGTCACAGGGAGGGGAGAGTTTTCGGCCTGAAGAAGTGGAAGGGCAGGTGATGACCAGCCCAGGATTGTCCCCGCCGAGAAAGCACTCAGGGTAGCTGTTGACAAAATGTAAAAGACCAATTAATTATTATTTTTTTAACTACATAGTTAAAGTTGGAATTCCATTTATTGGTATAATTTTTATGATAATCGATTAACTTATGTTACATTAGATTTCTTATTAATTTTTTGTATGAGATTATTCGTAGCATAATTTTATTGTTTGCATTTTTCTCAGTTTAAAATGTTATCATTTTGTGTAGTGAACTAAAAAAATTTGTACTTTTAATCAATAATGAAGCTATTTTTTATTTGTAATTATAATAATTTATATCGAAAACGTATTAAATTTTAAGTGCTTACATAATTTTAAATTTCTTTTATTATTACTTTTTTTTATCATAAATTTTACTTTTGTTAATAATCCAATATTTGATTGGCACAAATATTTTATTAATTTATTATTGACACAAAAGCTAAAACCTTGAATTTAATTAATTTTAACAACCATTATTTACTGTCTTCTGCAATCTATGGTAAGTATTTCATCATGGAAATGACATGTCAACTTTCAAATTTACTCAATAATTCACGTTAAATATCAAAATCAACAATGTAAACCTTTTACAATTTTCATTGAAAACCCATTTTTTACTGTTAATCAATCGATTTCTTCTTGTCGTGATTCATTTTCCCCCAAGTGTGGCATCTGCTTTCCATTTTATAATATATTTTTTATTACTCAAGTTAAATCACACGACCAAAGATCAGTCGACATTATGTACTGGAGCAATCGGCCAAGGCGAACCACGTGTGCACCACCGCGTGGACCCCAAGAATGGAATCTGTTCAAACCCATGGTGATCAGCATTTCCACACGTGCCCTCCCACACATTTTTTTACTCATTGATATGAAAATCAGCTTGAAAAAATTATTCATTCATAAATTTGAATTTTCTATCCCTCCAATCATATTTGAGTTTCTAATTTTCAGGTGTCTATGAAAATTTTCCACTGCAGTTTTGCAAACGTGTGAAATCCACCGGTGCTAATAGAATATTAAAACAAAAGAGTAACCGTGATATCAGAAGGAAGCCTGGCGGGGCACGTGACGAGCGTGAAAATTAGAACTTTCAGAACTTAATACATTTAGCAACGCAAATGTTAATTAAACATAAATTCCGAGACTAGTGCGCAGTTGTCTCGTGCTGATTGGCAGACACCCTGAATCGCAAGCGCTTTTTATTCAACCTGCAGAGAAGGTTTTGTTTAATTTTCAAAGTGGTTTTTCTGATTAAAAATTTTTATCAATATTTTGATGCATATTCATTTTACCCCAAAACATTTTATTTTCAATTAAATTGATAGTTCATTTGCACACGAAAAAAATTCTTAATTTTTATATTTTCTTTTATTTTTTTTTTCAATCCGATGTACTGTTATTCATAATAATTAAAGTCAAAAGTAGTTAAAATTGATAAATTCCTTTCCATTTTTTTTTTTCATTTTTTCGAATATCATAGATTTGGAATAATTTCAGGTCGCAAATAAAGTTTGCAAAAATTGCAGCTTTTAAAATAGTTTTGTTGGGATGTCTACGCCATTAACAAAGGACGTCTCACTCTGTCGCAGAGTCTCTCTCAAGGTGCCAATTTGTTGCTAGCGCGCGAAATCTACACCGGCCGCGCCAGTTAAAAATAAAAATTAGCCGCCGCGGCGCCGAACGGTTGCGAATTCCTCTGGTGCGCGTCGGTTGATGTTCGAGACGCAGTTCAATTTCAATTTCGGTGTCGGCTTTGATGATGAAGAGTTTATAATATAATAAAAGCTGACCATCAAAATCGACAATAACTTTTGGCACCGTGGCATGAGCAGAGCTGCTGCTGGCCCGATTTCAAAATAAAGGTCCGAGGTCGAGATCATCATCAGATCATTATTACGTAATTAAATTGGCAGAATATTTTAAAAAATAAAAATTTCAAATAAATATATTGTTTAATATTTTCTAGGTAAAATTTGTTAATTTTACCTATATAATCTAACAAATTAAACAAAGTTTTCAAAGGAAATTTTAACGTCTTAATTTTTTTTAATATACAATGCTTGAATTTCAAAATTTAATTCATTTATTTGAATTAAATATTCATATAAAATATATATTCTCCCTTCTTCTATATTCATTTCGAACTATCGACATCAATGTTGGCTATTTAATTTTTTTTTTAATTCCTATAAAAATCTTGAAAACTTTTTTAAAATCTGTCGATTTAGAATTTTTATAAATATTTTTGATTTTCTTTCTTTTTTGGAAAAAAAAACACTGCATACCAAGGATGGCTGCGAAGTACTGGGTGGTTGTGCTGCTCCTTTCGGCACTCGAGTCGCAGCTGCTGTTGGACGAAGATTCGTCGTCGGCGGGGCCGGCAAGGGCCGTCAACGCCGTGCGGCTGTTCTCCTCGCGCAGGATGCGTCCCTGTGGCCCGGTCATCGTTGAATGATGATGAGCCCGCGACGGGCCCCCAGAAGCACAACTCGCCTTTGCTCCCCACGCGCGCAGCCGCTCGCCCTCTCTCCGAGCTGCCAAGACCGGAATCGGTGCCAAATAAGCTCTCGCATCATTGGGGACCAAAATTTGCTGCTTGGAAATGGGACATCAATCTGTGCAACATCTTCATTTCCTTTCTCCTATTAAACAATTTCAGAATAACTAATTCAATCATTTTTTAAATAAATATTGTAATTTTATTGAAGATTTGAAAAATTATCCCACTTTTATTTAGTTTGAGGAAAATAATTTATTTACAATTGTATGGATTTTAGAAAGAAATTTAATTTATACACGCTATTTTTCTTCTGAAATATTTTAAATTACGTGTCATGGGAATGGCAAGAATTTTTTGCTGTCATTGACCTCTAAATTCTTCGTCATACTCCTATATATGAGAATGGCCTTTGTGACATTTTTCAACTCTTGTGCTCGAACAGAATCTGCAAAATGCGGAGAAAGAAATGTCAACAGGACACAAAAAATACAAACTCTTACAAGAATTTACAAACTCTCTCTAGCAAAATTTAATTTTGTAATAAAGATTATTCACGATTTTTCACAATCAAGGGTAATAACATGTTTTAATTGATAACAAAAAAACAGTTTTATTCCTCATTATACTTATATAAAATGATCTAAATATTGTTTTATTACGGAAAAAAAAGTATGTCGAAAATTTAATTTTTCTTTTATCTCCGTTTTTCATAAAATGTAATATTCAAAACAGGATTCTGGCTGTGACCTTGTCTCTCAATGTCAACTTAAAAGTCTTCAGCTCGTGAAGTTTCTGATGTTATAAAAAAGGGTTTATTTTAATAGCCCAAGTCTACACTGATTCTCATTTAATTAAAATTCTTGCATTATTTTAGTCCTTTTGTAATCTACTGTCAAATCCAGACAAAAAACATGCACGTTACTTATTTTCCATATTATTCAAGACCGCGTTAATCTCAAGGTTGATTACAAGCAGTTCAAGCCCAAGGTTGAGCACGGGTCATTTTTTTTCTTTCTTGTTTCTCGTATTTTCCACCCAAGATATTCCGCACAAAACTGTATATGTTAAATTAAATTAGTTTAGAATATTAAACTACATTTTAAAATTCAAGAATTTAATTTTGCCATTTCATGACCTATAATATTGCAAAATTTCAAACTAAAATAGTAATTAATTGCTAAAATTTTTATGCCCATAGTTCTAAAAATTTTAGGTAATTTTAAAATTTTAAACCGAATGAATTAATATTGTGTTGGTCTTGGCTTTGATCTTCCGCGACAGCCGAGGGCGGAATTTATTTGTCACGTGTTTGCACTCGCTGATGAGTTTTGTACGCAGATCTTATAAAGACGCTCGGAGTCGTCGGACTTTCTGTACCTATGCCCCAGAGATACTGTTCATGTAATAGCTATAATTATCATATTTTGCATGGTAAAATTGCAATAAAAACTAATTTGGCATACAAATCTAGATATTCTCTCATAACTGTTTATCAATTCCTCAAATATTTAAACTATGTTAACTATGTACTTAAAAATCAGCCAGATGAATTACAAATTTAACTTTTCTTGTAACTGTTGTAAACTGAATAATGCGGTCATTTATTCGTAAAATAAAATAGCATAAAAAGTTTATTATAGGTACTTTTTTCCTTGAACCTGTTCAAATTTGTTATTTAAAAAATTTATTTCAATGATGAAGAACTTTTTTATTTTGAATATTTTTAATTTTCATACTCTGGTCACTTCTTGAAATTTTGCAATTTTCTTCTGGGTTTAAGCATGAGAAATTACTTTTTTTACCCAGGAAACTTGGTAAAAATTTCCTCAAAAGAAATCATTTTGACTTCAATCAAATTTTAGAAATATTTTAAAATTAAGGGTTCGTTGACCTCAAAATGTGCAAACCAATAAGGAAGCACTTTCTCTGAGTGAATAAGAACGATGAGAAAATCCAACTAATACCTACTTGCGTTCCTTTGCTGGATTTTTTTTTATAATTTACTATGTATGTGATTATACAATTAAAAAAGTGAGAGATGCGCAGTTAAGTGCTGATTGCGGTGTTTACCACATAGGGCGCTATTTTAGTCGCTTTAAGGGGCACGACCGCCGACGTCACGGAACCTATTTCGGCCGCGTCCTTTTCGTCCTCTAGTCGACACTCACCCCGTCGTCAAAATCACGCGCCTCCGGTCTCATGCCTACGCCTATTAAAAATAAATAAAACACACGAACTAGAATATAAACTCCTCTAGAAAATTGCAGGCCTGCTTGTGTTCAGACTTGCACGTAGGACACGCATCTCAATTTAGATAGTCTAGCTAGGTCACATGAAATAATTAGAATTCGGCTCTAATTAAAAAAAAAACAATAAGTTTATCAGCAGGAATAAAGATGAATAAAAAAAATAATAAAAATAAAATTATTGGAAGCAATCAAAATGTTTTCTTAAAATTAAAAAAAAGAGGTTCTAAGTTTGTTTATTAATGGAGAGACTAGACAAAATTAGTTATCTCACCATCAGGTGGAATAAAATAAAATTACTCTCAGTGTAATTAAATAATTAAAAAAAAATCTTTTATTCGAACCATTTTTTAATTATTTCTGCCATTAAAAAATTTAATTCTTAGCATTTTAACTACATCTTCATATTTTAATTTTATATTACCAGAGATACTTTTGACATAGTGCAAATAATTTCATCAGTTTTGACAATTGTATTTCTTACGTAACAATAACAGTTTATTGGTAAAAACGAAAATTCAAAAATTATAATTATTGTTCCGACAAATAAATAGCAAGTTAATTTCTACCGAATTTAGTTTTTTGCTGGATTCGCTTAAAAAATCGAGCACTTTCAATTTGTCATGTATTATGTTACGTATTCACGGAAAAAAGCTTTTGTAACTTGTGTTATATTATGTACTGCTGACAGAGGACAGGAGCAGCCGAGATAGTGGCGTGACCCTCTTGGTATCGCGCGTTCTATGGGGTCAAACGTTGTCGCCGTTTCCTATCTGTCTCTGTGCACAGCGATAACCCCTACACAAGGCGCAGCAGCGCGATTTCAGTTTTTAATTAATGGCGCCGTGTAATCAGCAGAAAAAATCACAGCGTTCAGCAAAACATACCCATTTCTTACCAGCTGCTATGCGATTTATGTACAAAAAACTTAACTTAGATATCATATTTCATTCAAATATATTGAGAGGAAATCAATTTGAATTTATAACTCTTTGTGTGGTTAAATTTTTGTGCAAAATAGTTGTAAAATTATGGGAATATATTATAACCAGATTAATTAAAGAAAATATCAATAACTTGAAATTTGAACTATAAAATCACTGAAAATTTTATGCTGTTATACAAATTTATATACTGTGCCTCTACATACTTTCCATGACAACTTTAGCTAATTATGAAGTATGCAATGGAAACCCAAAAATAATATTTATCTTGTTAACTCTGAACAGACGTAATTAATCATCTCAATGCCCTTTAAACAAGTTTGATTATAAAAAATCACTTAATCACTTGGGTGCAAAGTGACTCAACCTTTGCTTGACAACCGAAAATTATGTAAAAATTTGCTTTAACTCAAAATTCAGGAAAAAGTGTCAGGCGGAGGGCTCGGCGGGCGGCAACGACCTCAACTCCAATGTCTGCCGCGATCTGATGGAGGCTCGGCGGAAGGGACACGCGACTCAGAGGCGCCTTCTGCAGAATCGCGCGATCCACCGGCACCATAAATTTGTCCCAGGACCGGATTTGCTTCTTCTCAACAAGGCGACCGACTCAACTGCTATAAAAAGGAAACTCTCCACGCCCAAGTTCCACTCGTTTTTGATCGATTTTTTTTTTATCTTTATTTTGCTGTGGATATTTTTTTGTATTATTATAAAGGAAACAAAAATATATAGTTTTAAAACTTCTCACAGTAATTATTTTTCACAAATGAAATGAATCAATAAAGTAATATAGAATTAAAGTTTTCCAATTAAATGGTATCAGGTATTTTTTGCCCCACTTTTAACCTATCTTGATCCGTCTTGGTCATAAAAATATGGATTTTGATGCGTGAATGGGATTAAAATAATTTTTATATAAAGCTAAAACGGTTTTCTGCAAATAGTTTTTTTACTTTGTAAATTTGATTGGAGTTGCATCATTTCGCATACATATTAACTTTTCGAATTTTGATTGATTTGGTAATAATTGTTGTATAGATTGTTTGTTGTGGCGCTCAAATGGGTCACCGCGCACTTGCAATTAAAATTTGCGTACGCGAATCGCGTGACGCTTTCGCCTCGGCGGGAGTGAAATGTATGAAACAAAATAATCGGAGGCTTATTCGTCCGTCTATTTTCAGGCACACTTATATATTGTTAGCCATCGACGGGGAAGAGGAAAGGGTATATCAGCTAAAGGGGCCCGCCTTGGCTTGCTGTTTATGTTGTTGACGCGACGCCAAATGGACCAGTTTAGATTATAAAGGTCACATTCGCAAAAATTTTGTTCTTAAAAAATCAGCAAATTTAATTAAATAAATTTAATTTTCTTGTAAAAGACTGTAGATTTATTAAATACATAATTAATTATAGGATTTTTAAATATTTAAACCTTTCTGAAAAGTTGAAATGCAAATAATGAAAAAATAATAATATGCAGTTTCTTCCACCTAATCATTTCTGTCATCATCGCAGCAGCATTAGCATTAAATTTGCTCAATCAATTGGCTTGGCACTTCATTTAGGAGGCGGCGAAAAACTGGTTTCTAAAAATCCTCATCTCTCCTCTCGCTGTTCCGGTACAAAATTAATGCAGCCTTGGGGCAAGATTCGCACGGGCAGAGCGTGAGCAACACGTGATTGTGTCATCACGTGTCGCTAAACACTGCCCATGTTAAAATCTGCGTTTGTTATGTAACCGCACGTTTGAACCCCAGAGCAAAATCGTTCTTCCTCAACAGATAAACTGTAGCGCCGACTTACTTGTCGCTTCTTTGTTGTTGTTCGTATTTTTTTTTTATGCATTAAAAGCTTGAAGCAACAAAAGGTGTTTCGCAATTTCACATTACAGAATCTAGAGGAAACATAAAATAAAAAAAATCCATTCTGTTGATTTAGGTAATCTTAAAAGTGCTTAAAAGATGGAAATTGAAAAAAAGTATTTCTTTTTATAAAAAGATGATCCCCATTGTTTTTTTCTACTCATTTATTTACTTAAAAACTTTAATTTTAAATATTGAAAAAGGAAAACCTTACCCGCGTTTCATTCAGATCTTTTTACTGCTGATCAAAGTTAACTCTAGAAATTCTAAAGAACCGTCCACGGTGGCAGCACCAGATAGCCCACCCAAAATCAAAGGCGCTGTTTTTTAGCAGTTAAACATAGTAGAATTATGCATAAATTTACTTCCTTATTGCATAGAGTTTAATAGTAAAATTTTTAACTATAAATTTCGGCACCTATAATTATACTTTTTCAGTCTCGTGAATAAATTACTAATTAAAAGGCATAATATTAATGTTTCGCTTTTTTTAAACTCGTCATTTCCCTTTTTGGCTCACCATACTATTTGTACTTGAACAAGCCAGTATAAGATTTTTCTTTGAATTAATGAATTTCTTTTGCTATATGTGAGTTTTATTTTATATTGATTTACTAATTATTGAATTCTTCCCTTATCTATGGTGCTTTGCTTACATAATAATGGCCGCACTTTAAACAACGGTGCATCCAATACATTATACGGAGGTGGGACATATTGAAGAGGACCATGAATTTTTTATCGGCATATGATAAAAAAAATCGAGCGTGAGTGTTTGGTTTGGATTGTTTGACTGTCCGAATCTCCCAGTTTGAGGGGAGCATGTGATTTTCGGCTCCGTAATCGTTGATCATAATAAAAAATTAGGTGAGTTATGTTCATATTCTGATACATTTTACAATTTAATAGGTTTTAATAAATCTCACTCCTCAAATATAAATCAATTAGCTTTTAACCACTATCTTAATTGACAATAAATAAGGGACTAATTATTTGCAAATAGCGGTAATCGGATTAGGCAACAAATCACGGCCACTGGTACGTTGAGATAAGAACTGAATGAGCGCCTTGATTGCTAGCCGCATTTGATGATAACGCGTTATACTTAATCCTCCATTGGCCCCATCGATCGTTTACAAAATTAAAAAAATTTGACCATTCACTCACTATTATTTTTGAAAAATATGAATTTGCCAATTATATTTATATTTCCTTTTTTTACTCAACTTCCTCTGCATCTTTTTTTTTGTAATTTATAAAAAAAACCTTTTAAAAAAAACCCTGAATTTTCTTTACAGAAAAACATCAAATCTAAACGTTTCAATCTTCAATCGCATTTTTGGAAATAAAAACTTGCAAAAATGGAGACGCGAAAAGTTTATGAAGAGACCTGTGAGGTGATGCTGCCGCAAAAGGATCAAACAGCGCTGCCACAAGGGAAAAAATTCCCACAATATGTTGTCGCTCTCATTGGTAACTATAAAACAGCGAGTGAAGAGTGTATAGTTTGCCATGATTTGCCATTCGTTGAAAAATTAGGATAAAAGTTTAATTAAATTTTATAAAAATCTGAAAAGTTCTCCTAGAAATTTTTTGCTGAAAATGAAAACTAAATTGATTTTTACCAAAATAAAATCTACTGTTCAAAAACATTGGATAACTCAAATTCACTTAATTTTTTTTTCAGCTCAGATTAAATCTGTTTCCATAAAATAAAGGATTTTAATTAATATAAAATAATACAAATGAATTTCAATAATTATTTTCTCTTAGTTATGTATTTTTTTTTTTTTTTTTACCATTTTAATTTAAACTGGAATTTTTTGCACAGCAACTCTGGGTTCCTTTTGTGCGGGTACTGTGATGGCTTGGACGTCGCCGACCCTCCCTGTGTTGATGGGCCCAAACAGCCCCTTGCCCATCACCGCCGAAGAGGGCTCGTGGATCGGCTGTCTGATGGCCGTCGGCGCCCTTTGCGGCGCCCTGCCGGCCGGCGTCGTCTCCGACAAACTGGGTCGGCGCCTCACCATGCAGATCGTGGCGGCGCCGCTGATCGTCAGCTGGGTCATGATCATCTTCGCACCCTCCGTCGGCTGGTTGTACGCGGCCCGCATCATCGCCGGCCTCGGCGTCGGCGCCGTCAGCGTCGTGGCGCCGATCTACGTTGGTGAAATTGCAGCCAGCGCCATCCGAGGATCGCTCGGAGGCTTTTTCCAGATGCAACTCACCATTGGCATTCTCTTCACCTACTTGTTCGGAGCCGTTTTAAGTTATCTCTGGCTCAACATCATCTCGGGTTGCATCCCCCTCGTTTACCTGGTTATTCTGTTTTTCGTCCCAGAAACACCTCAAAATCTCTTGTCAAAGTAGGTAAAATTGTGAGGAGAAAATAACAATTGATTCGAATATTTAGACAATTTTAAAATATTAGATAAAATGTAACTCTATTTTATTTCTAGTATTTTTTTAATTAAAAGTTTGTGATTAAAACTTTACTATAAAATTGTTCATTTATATATTAATTAAAATTTATCAATTTTTATATGAATTGCATGCGCTTTAAAATACTATTTGTAGATAATGTTATAATTATATTATATTTCTGTTATTTTTTTATGTGGTTTGTTTATGTACTTTTATTGAATTACTTTAATAATTTTAAAAATAAGATATCCTGATCATATTTAAAGATTTTAATTTTCTGCAGAGGAAAACGCACTGAAGCCGAGCGGTCTCTGCAACGTTTGCGCGGCGACGGCTGCTACATCACAGAGGAGCTGCGTCAAATGCAGACAGCGTTGGAACGTCAGCGTGCCGAGACCACCAGTCAGATGGAGGCCCTCAAGTCCATATTCAAGGAGAAGGCGTCGCGAAAGGCCCTGATGGTTGGACTTGGACTGATGCTGTTCCAACAGCTTTCCGGAATCAACGCCGTCATCTTCTACACGGTGATCATCTTTGACGCCGCTGGAAGCACCTTATCACCGAGCGTGGCCACCATCATCGTCGGCGTGGTGCAAGTGGTCATTTCCTTTTTGGCCCTACTTCTCGTTGACAGGTATGTAAATTTTTACCAGTTTCACATTCTTATCATGCAATGGAAAAATTTTCCATTAAGATCATTCAAAATGCTCAAATTTCAAATTCACCTCAAAATTTGCAGATATTTTATAATAATTAAATACTTAAAATTAAGCAAAATTCAAAATTAATTTCATCCCTATCTATAAAAATCAAGATTCCAGAAATAATTTCATTTTTTTCCAATTCAAATACTTTTTTATTACAAAAAACTTTACCTTTTCTACATTTATTGAAATTATTTGGATTTTATGATAACAAAATTAAATAATAATTTTTCTTGTTAAAATTTTTAATTCTGGATTTATTGTATGTATTTGATAAAAACTAAGAAGGCTAAATTTTGTTTTATAATTATTGTTAATAATTCCATCCACAGGGCCGGCCGAAGAATTCTCTTGATGATTTCGTCAAGCGTAATGGCAATTTGTCTGGCAGCTCTGGGTGTCCATTTCTACCTGTTGGACACTGGCGTCGACGTTTCAAACTACGGACTCATTCCTCTGGCCAGCGTGGTGCTTTTCATCATCATGTTCTCCCTTGGCTTTGGTCCCATTCCGTGGACGATGCTCGGCGAGTTGTTCCCAGCCAAGATCAAGGGAGCAGCGTCCGCCATGGCCTGCGTTGAGAATTATGTGCTCGTTTTCGTGGTGACCAAGACCTTCCAAGGGCTTCTCGAATCACTCGGATCGGCTGGCACCTTCTGGATGTTTGGCGGAATATGCATCGTTGGCACAGTTTTCGTCTTCTTCCTAGTTCCAGAAACCAAGGGCAAAACGCTAGACCAGATTCAGCTGGAGCTTGCTAAATAGAATAAAATCATTTTAATTAAATTTGATTTATTTTATGTATGTTAAATTTTATTGTTTACGTGCTAATTAATTTTTTTCAATCAATTTATTGAAAATTCAAATATCTTTATCATAATTTTTTTTTTTTATTAAAAACGTCCACAACCTTTAAAAGGGTTGTGCAATGCTTTCCAGTATTATATTATTTCTTGAAATTTTTTAGTAGGTTTAAAAATAAAATATTAAATTTATAAAATTGCATATTTTGGAATTATTATATTTTTCAATGCCCAATTTTGTTTTATCAATACAAGTAATTAAATAATATTGTTAATCTCGGTTTGTCTTATTTTCTAAAAATCAATTATAGCGGATCTCACAAATCAATTCTAATCTTTTTATTTCACGAATGAAATCGTAATACCAAACAACAAAATTACTTGAAGATTTATCATGATTCATGACACTTAATAAAAACCAGGCATTGCATAAAACTACGCGATTTATTTACCCATTCCTTCAAGTCGGCACTCCGCACATCTGCAAAGTACTGCAAGGTTGCCTATCTTAATTATGTGCAGGCGCGACTAGGATTCCAATATTATTATAAACGCTACGAGCGCGTGTATTTCCCGCCTTGAGTTATTTAAAATGTAAATTTTCGCCAATTAGTGTGCGTGATTTTCTGCCAGCCAATCAGCGTGCAAACAGCTGGCAAGTCGCGCCAAACTTAAAAATAGCACAATAACACGGTCACAGCTTTCACCAGCATTGCCGAAACGCTGCGCTCTCTCTATTCTACTCTCTGGCCGAATTCGTCTCGTCGTCACGCCTCGGCCGAATCGGCGCCTCTGACGCCGACGATCGGCAGCTAAGTCGTATTCGACTATGCGGCAAAGATGTTGCGAGAACTTGTCAAGTGGGTCCTGAACAACTACCTGAGCAACTACGTCGAAAACCTCAGCGTAGACCAACTCAGCGTTGCCCTTCTTCAGGGTAATTCGAGCAATTGCGCATATTATATAATTTTTGGTTAAATCTCGAATGTTTTGACTCTCAGGTGAGGTCGAGTTGGAAAATGTGCCGCTGCGGAAAGATGCCTTCCACAATCTCCGCCTACCCGTGTGCATCACTGCGGGCCAGATCGGCACCATCCGACTGCAGATTCCGGTCAGCAGCATTCGGACAGCGCCCTGGGTCATCATCATTGAGAAGCTTTACCTCACAGCCTCGCCCTACAAGACTGACGAAGTGAGAGTTACATAACGTTATTGATTTTCTATGCCTCCAAAGGGCAAAGCCGTGTTGAGGGCCACCCACAAGTTTTTCAATTTTCTTATTAGTTTAGTTTGATCATTTGTTTTGAAAATCCTTTAAATACAATAATTATTTAAACAGTTTTTTTAGACAAATGATGATGATTTAGAAATTTACAACAATTTATAATTTGAGGTTTAATTTTAATTGTATTACATACATTATTATGTAAATCATCATCATCATAAATTTTTTTAAATTAATTCCTTATCTTAAGTCCAAGTATTATGATATAATAATGCATTACTCATCATTACTGTATTATTAGCTGATGTAAATTTAAGTAAATTGTGACGTAATATTATATTATATTTTTTCCATTTTTTTTCTTTTTTACTAAATTGAAAATTTTCCAGATTGATCCAAAATTTGAGGAGCAGCTCATCCATGATGACAAACTGCGTCGTCTGGACACTTTGGAGGCTATTTGGAGGGCTGAGCACCAGACTGAGGTTTCTGGAGCCAGTTCCAGTTTCTATTCCTCCAGTTGCGGCTCGTGGATAAGTTTCACTTCGGGATTGGTTAGCAATATTGTCGAAAATGTCCAGGTTTGAAGCTCGCTTAAAAATTTTTACTGTTCACTGAAAAAGTTTATTTTGCAGCTCAAAATCAAGGATGTGCACATCAGGTACGAAGATGACGCCTCTGTGCCTGGCACAGTGGTGGCCGCGGGCTTGACAGTGCGAGCTCTTACAGCCAACACTTGCAACTCTTCCTGGACACCAGGTTATGTTCCTCTGGATGCATCTGCGGATGCTTTCAAGTTGGTAGAATTGACGGACGCAGCAGTTTACTGGGACACCAATGCCACTACTTATGGAAATCTTCCACTTAATCTTTTTTCAGTAAGTTAATAACTGTTTGTTTACTTTTATTTTAAAAAAATGGCATAATTTCTACAAGAAAATAATTGAAATCTTCATCTAAAGAATACATTGAATATTGTTGTTTTTATTTTATTCTAGGCTGCAATGCAGACGGCAATGCAAGCAAGCAAACCAGACAGCTTTATATTGTCACCAGTCAGCGCTCAGGCACGCCTCAAACGGAACCGTTCAGAGCTTCCCCTAAGGTCACGCAACCAGCCAAGAATAGCCTGTGACCTCATGCTTGAGACTATTCAATTTGCCGTTACTGATGTAAGTTTTTGTTTATTCTATAAGTTATATAATTTATGTACACAATATATTCTTTTAAAATTGTCTCTAAATGATTGTTTTTTTTTTAATATATAAGTCTTTAAAAATATAAATTTATGCTGATTGGGTTACCCAAAATTATTTTCAGGTTCAATATGCCCAAATGGTGGGCTGCTCACGAGGCCTGGAGGCTATCAGTCTGCAGCGTGAAGCATTGGTTGGACAGACCAGTTGTCCCCGAAATGATGTTCAAGCACTTTGGCGCTGGGCGTTCTGGCGTGCCTTGAGCCTCGGAAGGGTCAGCGAGCGCTACATTGAGGTTTACACTCAGTACCTTTTGATGCCTAACAGCTTCAGTCCAGAAGCCAAATTACTCAAAGAAACAATAGAAATGAGGTTAGAACAAGGGACTATAATTTTTTTTTTAAAAATCCAAATCAAACTAAAATATTAATACTATTTGTTATTAATATAATTTTCAGGTATGGCTATGAAGCTCTAAGAGAATTGAGAGAAACAGCTATGCAAATTGCTGCCGCCAAACTAGTCGACATTGAAACTAAAGGCTGGAGTGTGCCCGGTGCAGGAGTTTTGTTGCAGTGGTTCCCTTTGTGGACTGGTTGGTACTCAACTCCTGCTCTGCCAGACCAACCTTTAAAGTAGTTTACTGAATTTTGGAATGGTTTTTAAATTTTAAAATAAAAATTCTAAATAGATCTCCAGATGAGTCACAAAGATTAGAGGACGAACTACTTCATGCTTTGAGCGATTCCGTTGAAAGTAGTTCCATTCTTAAGAGAGATGCTGTTTTTTCAATTAGTACCCTGACTATCAAGCAGGGCAGCTTCAAGCTTCTTTCAAGCACAAAACCATCAACAGACACAATGGAAGAGGATGAAAGTGATAGTAAAAGGTTTGTGGTTTGCACTACAACATTTAAAAAATTGAAGAAGGAAAACTATAGAATTTTTAACTTATTTAATTTTTTTATTAAAATAAATCAATGGATCATGAATTTTTTTTTTTTAAATAGGATTAATTGAGTTGTTTCCTAAATTTTCAGTGTGATAAACTATCCTGTTATGGACTTGGAGGTTGAAGCGCTGAAAGTTCAGTTGGAGTCTCGACCTCGACTCAACTCCCAATGCTTTAGCCTGAGTGTGGGTGGCATCTACCTGAAGGACTGTCTGACGCGCAACTCCTTGTATCCTATGGTTGTGGAGCCTCTTCGAACAGCCAAGGCCAAGAGTGCCACAACAGAGCCTCTTTTCTCTCTTATGTACGAGACTAAGCCATTTGGCAGCCGCCTTGACCACCGACTTCATATCGACACGCGTTGCTTGACTGTTGTCTACAACCCTGGGGTGGCCAAAGCCATCTCTGACTTCTTCATCAGGCCCCAATCACAAGAGCCACTACTGCACCTTGGACAAGCAGCTAGAAGGAGGTACATAAAATTGTGTTAATCATTTCTTAATAAAATTTAAATTAATTAACTTTTTTCAGGTATGAGCAAATGAAGAAAAAGACAAAGGAGCGGCTGATGCAGAACTGGGAGCAGATGCTAGAGGGAAATGAACGCATTCGTCAACGATGGGAGTTGAAATTGAACATCTCCGCTCCTCAACTTCTCTTGGTGGAAAACTTCACCGACAAAAGTGCAACTGTGGTTCTGCTTGACCTTGGCCGGCTTAGTGTGCGAAATTTGCATGAGCAGGAAGCACCAACACCGGCTCTGTCACAGAGACAGGGCTCTTCAGAGTCAGATGAGGACTTCCACACACCTTGCTCATCTCCTCAGGCAGTGGAGGAAGAGCCCAAGGGACTTTCCCTAGATTTAGCAACCGAGTTAGCATTGCAGTCGCGCGTCTATGACCGCTACAGCATCGAATTAGGCGACACCCAGATCCTTGTCGGCCGCACCAGGGACAACCTGAGGCACGCCCATCTCAGAGGCTCCTCATCAGGACTTCACGTTCTTGACAAATTCAACATCTCGGTTCAGTTGGAGCGACGAGCCTTGCCCTCGTGTGACCCAAATTTGCCTTCACTCAAGGTTTCTGGCAACTTGCCAAAGTTGGTTGTGCATGTCAACGAGCAGAAGGTCACCACCATGAGGCGGATGGTGCGTCACATGCTGGGCGAAGGTCTGCCCTCACCCTTCCGGCCGCCAGAGTCACCCATTGAGAACCGAAATCTCCCATCAGCAGAGGCTGGAAAAGACGTAAGTTAATTTTTACTTCAATATTAATTTTGATATTTTTCTATTATTTTTTCCTCATATTATTGCAAATTTTGATCCAGATGTCACCAGACACTGCTTATCTGTGTGTGTTCCGCTTCTGCATTGATGACATGTCTTTGGAAGTGCAGTCCAGAGGCCGATCGGTAGCAGAATTGCAAGTTCGAGGCGTTCGCGCAGGACTTGTCCTCCGCCCTCTAGAGACCAGTGTCTCTCTCAGCATTCACAGTCTGCTGCTGGTGGACGCAATGCAGACCTATGGCAATGACTTTGACTTGTTGCTTGCCAGCCACCAGCGCGTCGGCATGGATAGTGTCAGCGGAAGTCTCTTTGACAGCGAACCCACTAGTCCCACGTCCCCTGCATCACCAAATCTGTCAGCTGGGCGTTTTGGTCCTGCCACCTCACCACACGCCCTCACACAGGCCCTTTCCACGCTGCAGTTCTTGCGCGCCACTTCTCCAAATCCCGCCACCGTGGAACTTGAAGGGGACGCGCTTATCGTTGTTGAGCTCGTCTGGTTAGATGAGGTTGGTTTTTTAACCAAAATTTTCATATTATTCTGTTCTATTTTAACACATTTTTCCCCTCATTAGCTTCCAGAAGAAGAGGGCAAGTGTATAGCCACAGTGCACTTTAACTGCTTGGATGTGATTGCCAATCAAGAGACTATTGTTGAGCTGGTTGGCTTTGTTAAGCGTCTTTTTCCTGAAGGTCATTCGTCAGCAACAAATTTCGGCACATCCATCGACAACTTAACTGGCGTTACGTCTAAAGTTGATCTCAATTTTGATTTCCAACGGCTGAATGTTCTTCTGTTGAGGGCTGTCATGAATGAAAACCACCAACCTCAAGCTAGAAAAATCGCTACTGCCACTTTGACAGAGGCGAAAATTCAGGCAACAGTTGGCGCTGAACTCAGCGTCAAAGGTTCTCTTGGTGGACTTCAGGTATGCTGAAATTTTTAAAATTTGTTTGTTAAATATACTTATTATATTTTTCTTTCTAAAATCCATTTATGAATTTTAGATCTTGGATCTTACTCCAGAAGGCCAGAAGCACCAACGTATCTTGAGTTTAGGACACGACCCACTTGCTGAGAGTCACCCTGACCACAGGACGGAAGTTCTACGTCGCCTGAACGCGGAGCTGAGCAGTATGTACCAGCAACAAAGTGGTTGCGCCTCGTCATCCATCACAGAGGAAGACTCCGAGGCTTTCATGTTCAGTGTTACTCGGAATGCCGACGGACGTACATCTGTTGGCTTGCGCATGGCCTCGGTTTGGTTCACACACTCTCCACGACTTCTCCTTGAATTGCAGTCTTGCGCCACTGAATTCAAGCAGTATGTGTCGAAACTCGCCCGGTCTATACGATCGGCAGCTGCCGAAATGGCCATAGGTCTGATGCACGTTCACGCACGCGTCGACCCAGCTTCGGAAAGAGGAAGCAGACTTTCTTTGGCCACTTTGGAAATGTCTCCTCAGCGTCGTCGCCGCAGAAGCATGTCTCAATCCCTGGAGCTGCTGGAAAACAAGCTCAACACACCCTTCACACCAGATGAGGAGCCGAATGATATAATGCTGGACACTCGACTGGATATTGTCCTCGAGTCGCCAGTAATTGTCCTCCCCCGAGCTGCAAACTCGGGAGACGTCTTGGTTGCCCATCTGGGTAAAATCACTCTGAAAGATGACGCCGAGCCGGAAGCAGATGGGCGCAGTCCTGACTCTGACATCTGTGGTCATTATTGCTGGGGCATTGTTCGCCGTAGGGCAAAGTATAATCTAGAAATTAGAGACATGAATCTAGCATCTCTCAACATTGACCACCGGAGGTAAGCATCTTGAACTAAAGTTTTTAATCAAATATTATTTAAAAAAAAAAAAAAAATTCACAGTATACTTTATTGATTTTCTGTCATTATTTTTGTACCTTTTTTATGGAACTTTTGCCAAATTTTTACAGGAAAGCGCCTGAAAACCCTGGTGAGACGCTTCTCCAGCGAGCAGATGTCTTGTACTCTTGCAAAGAGGACGCTTTGCCTATCCTGCATAATACTGTGATTAAACTGGCCATCGAAATTGAACGAGGCCGATGTGTGATGAAACCTACCGAAAGTTTACCATCACTTCTTCTTGACCAGAGCATGGACTTTTTGGATGTAGATAGTGAGGACACAATTCAGGTAATTGAAATTTCTATAAAAATGTAAGAAGTCATAACGCTGATGTCGCTGATAATTATTTTCAATGTAAATGTGAGGAATTTTTTTGTTTATGTATCCAACATAAATTTTTCCAGATTCGCGGCTCTGTTGTTCAAGACCTGAAGCTTTCCCTCTCTCGAGCACAATATGAGCAATTGCTGGACAGCCTAGAGCAAATTGCTGTGCATGAACCAGAAACACCACGAGCCCATGACAGACCACCTGAATCCTTCCTAACGCTTGACCCAAGCATGAAGGCTCGCCTGACAACTCCTCTTGAACCAAAGCATTTAAGTAGGACCCGAGTAGATGTCCTGTTTGAGTTACCAGCACTGGGAGTTACTCTTCGTGGACAATACCGTGGTGACGAGCGACCAGTGGCCGAAATCGGACTTCGTGACCTGAGAGTCCAATACTTAAAGACAGAAGCACATGAAACATCTTTGGAAGTTTCTCTAAGGGCCCTTCTTGTGGAGGATCTTTTGCAAGCGCCTGAGTCTCCCCACCGAATGCTTGTAGTCTCGCAGTTTGTGCCCCAGGAAGAGCCAATTGAGCCTCGAAAGGCCAATGTCTCGCGCTCATGCCCAGACCTGTCATCTTCTTTGTTAGATGCGTTTGACTCTGTCAAGGGTTCTCTTCCTGACTTACTTGAAACAAGTGTCCTCTATGGAGCGCCAAAAAAACAGCAACCAGAGAGTAACTGCCCTTGCACTCCTCCTCCATCACCAAGAAGAACAATGGCGTCCCCTGTTCAGGACAACCTAGTCCATGTTGATGTTCGATTCATTGACCCCAAATGTCCAGAGTTCTTCAGCAAGCACAAAGGCGTACAACAATACATGGATGTCAACTTCAACTGTCTGGATCTGATTGTCAATATTGAGTCCTGGGTTAGTTAAAATGAGTCTTGATTTTTCTTGAGAGTTTAAGTAAACAATTCTAGTTTTGTGTTCATTTGCAATAATTATTATTATTTTTTTTTAGTGAAATGGAAAATAAATTCACTACTATTTTATTTATTCTAATGTAATCAATAAAGGAACCATTTATTATTGTAAATAAGGCAAAATTTAAATAATAAATGGTATTAAACAATATTATTTTCATGTGTTTTTATACTTTTAGGTGGTGATTTTAGATTTCTTTGGATTAGGCCCTGAGACTGAGGGTAGCGCTGCCAAGCGTCAGACACCAGCTAAGCGTTCAGACCGCCCTCAACGTTCTGGAGATGGACGAAACTCTCTTTTGAACATTCGAGTTCGCTCCTTGACGCTGGTACTTGTAAAAACATCTGGCGGGGAACTGGCTAGGGCTAATGCCTCTCACCTGATCGCGCGCGTCGAACGTCGCGGTCCAGATAGTACCACCACAGGCAAGCTTGGCAAACTATCCCTGATGGATGCCAGTCCCCATGGCCGCCTCTACAGGTAAGTCTATTGTTTTGGGATGTGACCATATTATTATGGGTAACAAATTTTTAGTTAAAATGAAATATTTGAAAAACGGTAGAAATTTTTGATAAAAAATTAAATTTTTATTGAAAAATTTCAGGGAACGTTTCATAAGTTCGGGAGGTGAAGCGCTCGACTTCACCATAATCAATTACGGAACACCAGACCCAACACTTCGACGGGAGTGTGATGCCCAAGTACGCCTTCAAATGAGCTCCGTCTTTTATGTGCACACGCAACGTTTTGTCGAAGAACTCAAGATCTTATGGAATCACTTCAGCCTTCTCCAAACACTAATGTCTAGACTTCGCGAGGCCACTGCTGGCTTCACAGATGATGAACCAAGTTCGAGAGGCCGGAGAATTCTCTGGGATATCCAAGCAGGATCACCAGTTATTCTTTTGCCACTAAGTTCCAGGTTAGAATACAATTTATTTAAGACGATTAAATTTACTCAGCATTAAAGAAATACAAAATATGGTGTTTTTAACTTTGCAGGTCTACCAAAGTCTTGATGGCAGACCTGGGTGAACTTACTGTGAAAAATGGTTTCCGTCTCCACTCTGATTGTCTCCTAGACGTCATGGACGTCAACCTGATCAACATGGACATTGTGGCTAGTCACCGGCTGACATCATACAGCGGTGCTGACATGAACAGCGCCAAGTTCCGCGTCGGCAACACCTGGTTTGAGAAAGTTGGCGTTTCGCTTCTCTCCGAAGCTAAGTGTCAGTTGTGTCTGCGAGTTGAAAGGAATCTTGACTCACTGACAGCCCATCCGGTTCCGGACTTAAGCGTGCAGGGAACTCTCTCTGGTCTGCACGCGTCCATCGGCGTTGAGCAGCTGCGACTTATCAAAGGCCTGCTTGCCCACAACATTGGTGAAAATCTTGACGAGCTTGACTATCTTCTGGCTCCAACTCCACCAGGCGGAGCGCCTCTTGACACAGAGCAGGTCTGGGTGTCTACTAGTTTGAAACTTGATCTCCGAGATGTGCTTGTGGCACTACAACAACCTGATGGACCACTGGCGTTGATCAATTTTGTCAAATGCCAGCTTGTGGTCGAGAGCCGATCTGACGGAGCTCGAGACATTGACTTGGTCTCTAAAGAGATTTTAATCACAGACCAACGCTTCCAGTCTCGTCCTGTTAACAAAAGGCCAAATGTTTTCAACAACATTCTCTTGCCAGTAGACGCAGAACGCAGATCTAGTCAAGTAATTTTTTTTTCATCATACTTTGAACTAATCCTAATTATTATTCTTGGTAATTTAATTTGTAGGTTCAAGCCGAAATTCATCACCGTCGTACTGCATGTGACGGGGCCCGCTTCACCATCCTGCTGAACAACATGCGACTAATGCTCATCCTCGACTGGTGGCGATTGGTCCGTGACTTTATCAGTGCAGAGCCTGATGAGCTCGAGTTTGCGTCGCCATCAGCTGCGGCTCCTGCAACAGTCCAGCCTGCAGAGGAGCCTTATGAACTTACACTCAACATCACCGACTCAGACGTTGTTTTAGTTGAGGACTGCTCACGCTGGGAGACAAACGCACTCATTCTGAAGGTAACGAGTTATGATTTTGAGATGAGAAACCCTGATTTTGAAGAAATTTGGTATGAAACTTGCGCTAACCTCGGGTGTTTTGGTTTTGGAATGGCTAACAAAAAGGCACTCTGAGGCCCTTGGCTTTCAGGGACAGGAATAGGCTATCTGAGATGGCTATGTTAAATTGGTCCCATGAAAATGCAATTGTAGTGCAGTGCTGTTTACCAATTTTCATTGAAATCAAGGTGTCTTATCTGAAACACAGCTTGTAAGACTGACCTATTTCTAAAAATTTCTTCATATATTTTACATTTTTTATTTTAGCTTAAGCGTGATGTTTAATCCAAATGAAAATTCTTTTATCTCTTTAAATTGAGCGTCTTTCATCCCTTTTTAATTTTTTTCAGAGCACAACTGTTGTATCCTATCGACCCAGTTGCGCCGATCGGCCTCTTACATGCAACCTGAATAGATGTGAACTGCTTTACTGCATTCTAGGAGATGAGCAAGAATCGGCCGTGTCCATAATTGACCCAGTCACTGTAAATCTAGACCTGGTGCACACGGAAGATGGTGTTGGCATCCTCGATGTCACCCTTCAAACGCTCAGCCTGCGGCTTTCCTACCGAGATGCCAGGGCCTTCTCACAGTTGCTGAGTGCAGTTGGAGGACGTGACCGTAGCAATTCAATTGCGGATGAGGGACCTAAGAACATTCTACAAAGCGTGGAGCGGCTGTGCGCCATGGGTTTCTCTGCCGAAGATTGTGCCGACGCCCTGGACCGATGTGGAGGACGAATGGACGACGCTGCCCTTTGGCTGACACAACACGCGAAACACACATGTCAGTATAATTTTAAGAATGCCTTTAACAAATAACATTGATTTTATCGTGGTTTGGTTAGATTCCCCATCGCCAGAATCCCCATCTCACTCGTCAGAAGGACTGCTGAAGTTCAGGCAAATTGAGTTGAAAACACACCTGCTGAGCGTCTGCATCATTGATGACTGCCAAGATGCAGATGTGCCTCTTTTGGAGTTGAGTCTTGCCCAGTTAAGCATGAAACAGCTTCTGGGTACAAGACGAACGCTCGACGGAGGTCACATGGAGTGCCACTTGGCCGTGGATTATTACAACAGACTCCTTTCTGGTAAGCAGTCTTAGGAAGAATTAACTGCTGTGCCGTAAAATTTTATTTATTGACATTTATTAAAATGGGTGCGTTTTAATTGTTAGGTTGGGAGCCGCTGGTTGAGCCGTGGAGAGCCAAATTCTCATGGGAGTGGCAAGAGCTGGTTCCAGTGCCCTTCTTCCGCCTGCATGTTGATGCAGACAACGTGCTGGCCCTCAACGTAACAGACTCACTGGTTTCCCTGGTACACGCTGTCAAGGACACCTGGACACAAGATTTGAATACTGAAGGCGTTGTTGTGACGCAGCAGCAGCCCCGAAAGCGTCGCTCTCCCTTTGTGCCCTACCAACTTTTGAATGACACTGGTTCTGATTTGTGGTTCACCACCAATGTCAGAATGGCTGACGCGTATGATCCTCTGGGACAAGAGCACCCACAGCAGACAAATGAGGGATGGACTCTGGTGATGGCCGGAGAAAAGGTTTGATAAATATTTTTTTTCATTAAAGTCGTTTAGAAAAATAGATTAAAGTTATAAGAAAATTTGTGATTAATTTTAGTTGAAATATTTCAATATTTTCTTTATCCACAGATTCCATTTGATTTTGAACGACAGGCGCGCAAACTGCGTCACAGAAACTCTCACGAACTACGAGTACATCAGGTTCGAGTCCGCATTGCTGGCTGGCGACCCATTCAGCCTGTGTCTGTTGACCGTGTCGGCGTTTACTTCCGACACGCCCAGCCTGATTTGGACGACGCCTCTGTAGGGCAGCTGCCGTCAGCAAGAGTTGTCTTCCAGGTCACTCTGGAAGGGTGCGCCCGTAAGGTGGTGACTGTCAGGTCAGCGTTGCTCCTCTTGAACCGGCTGCCCATTGAAGTGGAGCTATGCGCTGAGCAAAAAAGACAAAGGATTGCACCCAATGCTACCTTGGCAGTGCCCATGATGTTGGTTCACTCCACCTTGAAAGTGAGGCCCCTGCAACAAGAGCATTTTGAGCTCAGTGCTTCTCTGCAATGGAGCCATGTTTCCGATCCAGGTTCTGTACAGGAGGAGAGCTATGTCTGTCGCAGTACCCGATCTCATCACTCTGATGATGGATTCAGGTGAAAAATCATAATTTAATAATAATTCAAAATAAAATCATTAGTTGCTGATTTCTAAATTCCAAGTTTTACTTGCAAAAAGCTTAGTGTATAAAGAATTGAATAATTGTCTTTCTCTCTCGTCAGATTCACATTAGCAGTACAGCGAGAGTTGTACCCTCCTGAAAAACAATATCCACAGTGGACTAAACACCGCAGTCTCACCTATATGTACCCTCAGCCAGCTCACACACTCATTCTGCTGAGCCCAATTATTGTAAGATTTCTCCACAAATTTTATGCCTCAATTTTTTCAATTTAATATTTCTCTCAGGTGAACAATCTCTTGCCCCATGAGCTAGAGTGCAAAGTTCGTTCTGCGCCTAGCCATAAGCTAAGCATTGCTGCCGGCACGTCGGCTGCACTTAATTTTGTTGACATCTCGGAGTCGCAATCACTGCACTTTCTCTTGGACAACTTCACTGCTTCTGGGCAGCTTGAGCTGCAGCCATATGGTGGATCATCCAGGCAGGCCAACCTCTTCCTCACTGACCCTCAAGGAAGGGTAAATAATTTTTTTATCTATATTTTGACTTAATTTAATCCTGATTTCAATTCATGAAACTGAAAAAAAAAACAATAAGAAGGTTTTTTCTAATTTATCAAAATTATTTTGTCTCTTTTGAATTTTTTTTTGTCAATTTTTGGAAATTAAATATTAATATCTGTTCTAGGTTTTAGTTTTGCATGCTCGAATAAGAGTTTGCATTGGACGTGGTTGTGAGGTGGACATCAGTGCCCCTTACTGGCTGATCAACCGGACAGGCCTGCCTGTTGTACTTAAACAAGAGGGCGCCTCTCAAGAGGCCGCTGGGCAGGGCATGGAGCACGAGTTGGCCCGCATGGTTGCGCCCCTCATATTCTCCCTCTCTGACCCTGAGCAAGAGGGCACTGGTTTCACCATTCGTCTCGGCACTGGCCTTCGACAGGGTAGTCGACCAGACTGGTCAAAGCCCCTGCTGCCTCGACGGGACGTGCAACTGGTGCAACTTCGTCTCGGCACTGCCAACCGTCCCGATGAGTTGTACGAACTGGGCGTGAGCACTAAACCTGGTCGAGGTCGCTACAGACGCACAACCATGGTGCATCTTGCGCCTCGGTACCTTTTGCACAACAAGTCAAGCCGCCAGCTCGAGTTTGCGCAAAGCTTCTTGGCCACAACTGTGACTGACCTTTATGCTGACGCATCTCATGTGCAACTTGTCCCTGGTTGCTGTGTCCCTTTTCACTGGCCCAAACTGGACAAGGAGCACCGCTTGTGCGTTCGAATGCCAGAAGGTAAATTTTTTTAATTAATTTTGATAAGTTAAATAAAAATCTACCTTTTTTTATTAATCCAGAATATTTTGAATTTATTGTGATATTGGTTTTTGCCCATAATTTTTAGTATTCGAATGCAGTTGGTCTGGTTCGTTTTACATAAATCGTACGGCGCTGTTCCATCTGAACGTGCGTGACCGCTCTGGCCGAATGAACTTCCTCAGTGTTGAGGTGACTGAGCAGGAAGCATCTTTTGTCATCGTTTTCTCAGATGTCTCCATGCCCTCACCTGTTCGCGTTGACAACTTCTCGGAAGTGCCAATCAACTTTTACCAGGTGAATATCAATTTTTTTAATAATGCTGATGTTTTTTTACACATTTCTTTCAAATTATTTGCAGATATTAATTAAGCATTCTTTTATTTAAATACTTAGAATAATCTAACCCTTTTAATGTATCTTTTTATTTTGAAATTATTATAAAATAGTAGAAATTTTTGTATACCTCTTTCTTTTATTACATTTTCACATAATTTTTTATCAATTTCGGTTATTCAGGGAGGTGCTCGGGTACAGCAAACAGTGGTCAGACCACATTGCTGTCTACCTTACACATGGGACGAGCCACTGGTGCCCCACAAGTTGACTTGCATCGCTCCAGGCGGCAACGAGGCCACCTTGGACCTCGGGCAGCTCGATTTACGCGGCGAACTGACCTACGACAACTTTATCTATGTAGCCATGACGTGGACCTTCCCTCCGGCAGATGCTGACGCCAGAATTGAGCCTCAATGCCAACAGCTGGTTCTCGACGTGCCTGAGGGAAATCGAGTTGTGCTTCGCAAGAAAGAGCACGGCTGTCGCTCCCAACTCTGGCGCCTCACAGCCGACGGCCACCTCCAACACGAGGGCAGTGGCCCCCCTAGAGACCCACGAAAGCTCAACGACCCTTTCCACCAGTCACTGGTAAGTTTATCATCTCAATCAGAAAATCTCAAGAAAATTAATTTACCAAAGAATAGCTTAAATTAAAGGTATGAATTTAAAACAATCTGAATTCTTATTATTAGCTTAAAAACAAAATAATTTTTCTTGAACATTTTATTTTGAATTGAAATATTAATTCTGGGCATTGTGATCTTAATCAATCCTCAATTTTTAAAAAAACAATTATAATTTGAAATTTTACTTAAGATAAAAAAATTCACCGATATTAATTTGCCTCAAACGTTGCGTTTTTCTTTTTTAATGTTTCTTTCTGTTTGTTTTGTATATTCCTGTAAACTTCATCGGCTCACATATTTTTATGTTTCACCCACTATCAGGTATTGGACATTGCTGGACCGGCACCCCAACCATCGCAATATGTGCCTCTGGTTATCAGGCGGCCAGAACCCAGGCGACAGTCGACCCAAACTTGGCGATTTACAGAAGATGGACGCCTACGTTGTGCTCACAACAGCATGTGTGTCCAAGCCAAGGATGGATTCTTTGGCCTCAGGAGGGGTAATTAAAGAACTATATTTCACAAATATTTTATTTTTTCACTTCCACAGTATTGCAATTTCCATCATAACACTTTTTCCTATTGTTGAAGTCTTTTCCAACTAAATTAATTTTGGCCTGTGGTTTGAACCTCTTTAGAAATTTCTTGATGAAAAAAGGGATTTGCTGAAAAAAAGTTTTTTTTAATTCATTCATTTTTTTTAAAATTAATTCAAATGTCTTACCAAACAATTAGGCCAAAATATTTATTTGAATTGCTTTTTATTTTGCACTGTTAACTCTCCAATACTTATTTAAAAAAATATTTCTTCTGGGAATTTCTTTCAGGCAATGGGCTTGATGCTGCTGGACCTTGGCAAATGTGTATGTCGCACTACAAATTGTGTGTTATTTGTCCATTCCAGTAGCATCCCCCAGTGTGAAATTTTTCATCTTTCGTATCACCCTGCTAGTTTCCATTCATGTTTTAAAATTCCGATCAGTTTTCAAATTAAACTATTAAAGTTGTATATTTATTTACTCACTAAAATTTTTGCAGTCAATAGTTTGTTAAAATTTTTGCTTTTCAACAGGGAGTGAAGTTGTCCTTGGGCCGCCACAACCGATTTGTCACCAAAAAACGGATGACGGTGTGCCCGTTGAGCAGGCTGTTGCACCACAAAAGCTGCGTCCTGGCTCTGGGGTGCTTGTCTTGAGGGTATATGCTGATGGACCGACCAGAGTACTTGAAATCGCAGATAAGAAGCTCAGGGTAAGATTATCACTGAAAAAGGCAAATTATTTGATTAAAAATTCTAAAGAGTTTCATTTTAATAATACCCTGATTCATTTTTTAATAAAATTAGAAACTTTTATATTGAAATAATTTAGAATTTAAATTTTTTAGCGAACTTTCTCCCTCCCCCGTCAGCGAGATTGGAGTCCAGTGTTTTTCACCCGATGGGGCAGTCCAGCGTCCCAAGATTCCATCCAAGAGTCCACCTCTGGAGTGGAAGAAACTGCTGAGGACTGGGGCTTTTGTGTGCAAGTACGTCTTACCGGCGGCCTCGGGGTCAGTCTGATCGACACCAACATTCGAGAAGAACTCGCCTTTTGCCTGCTCGAGTGTCTCAGCGTCCGAGTGAGCGCCCAAAGGAATGTCCACCGTCTGGAGGCGTCGGTGCTCAACATCCACGTGGACAACCAGATGCTGCAGGCTCAGTGTCCGGTGGTTGCGTTTGTGCCCAGCTTTGTCCGCTCCGAGGACACCTCGGCCTGCATTCCTGTTGTCGAAGTTACCGCGGAGCGCATCGCGGCCACCAATCACAATATTGACACCATCAAGAATGCGGCCATCATCATTCGCAACTTGAACCTGACCATTGAAGAAGAACAGTTGCTGCTTGTTTTGTCGCTCTTTGGCCTGGGAGTGCCAGAGACGGAGCCAAATTCAACAGCCACAGCTGCTGGGGCCGAAGGTGGAGACCTCGAGGCTCAAAGAGGACTGACGGCTCTGGCTGAACAAAGAATGGCTGCACAAAGATATTTCTTCTCAAGGTTCTTTGTCGCCTTCACAAATGTGAGTTTTCTAAATCAATTTAATTTTAAACAAAAATTCTTAGTTTTAGTCGAAAATATTTTAATGCCATTTTATTTTTAATAATTTCTGCAGATTCGATTGAGCGCTGTGACTACAAACAATTTACCGCCAAGACTAAAACACATCAAGCGTCGAATAGGACTGACTTTGATCAAGTTTGAAGACGCTGGTGTTGAGCTCTCACCCTTCCACATTGAGCATGAGCTTCTCAGCCAACCAGCCTTGCTTGACGAGTTGACCAAACACTTCCAAGCTGTAAGTTTATATCTTTGAAATAATAAGTTCCTACTAATTAATGTGTAATTTCAGGCACTCCGCGGTCAGTTACCAATAATTTTATTCTCCTCCGACATCTTTGGCGGCGCCACTGGTCTTGTGTCCAACGTGACTGAGGGGGTTGTGGGAGTTCTGTGCGACCCTGGTGTTAAAAGTGTAGGAGGCCTTGTGAAGAATGTCACCCACGGCTTGTCTAGCTCAACAGCCAAGGTTACGGGTAATAATTATTCTTTGAATTTCTTATGCATTTAATTTATTTTGTAAATTTTTAAGGGTCATTGAGTGATGGTGTGAGTTGGGTGGCTTTGGACGAGTACCACGAAGAGTGCAGACAACGCATCAGACGTCGCCCACCAGCTCAAACAACCTCCTGGGAACATGTCAAGGTCGGACTTCGCAGTCTCGGCTTTGGTTTTCTCGGAGGTGCCACCAGCATCTTTACTCAGGCCTATGAAGGTGCCGCCACTGAAGGAACATCGGTAAATTCAAGATAACTCATTTAAGTATATCTACAAAATTTTGTAATTTTTTCAGGGTTTGATTTATGGCTTGGGAAGAGGACTTGTGGGGACAGTAACAAAGCCTGTTATGGGATCATTGGACTTTGTGAGCGACATTGCCAGCGCTGTCAGCAACTCCAGTAGAAGGTAATTTTGAAAGAAACAAAATCATCAAAATTTCCCCTTCCCTATGAATTCTAATGATTTTCTTTTTATTTTGCAGTTCGAGCCACTACCAACCAAGTCGGTTTCGTCTTCCTCGCTGCATTGTGGGCCCTGGAGGTCTGCTGCCCGTCTACTCGCACAAACAAAGTGAAGGCCAGCAGTTTCTGCACCAAATCAACAACAACTTGTTCCTTGAAATGTACAATTTTCCTATCAACCTCAAACACACTAATCAATTTGCCATTTTTCAGATTCATGGCTTACGAACTGCTTCGTTCAGGCACGGAGGACCTCAGGGTGATTGTGTCCAGTGAGGCGGTCAGGGTCTTCACCACCAGCACCAACGGCTCATGTGCTATTGTGGTCAAAGTTCACTTGGGGTAAGAAATTTTTAATAATTTATAATTTTACAGAAATATATTTTTTTAATTTTAAATTTTAAACTCCATTTTTCACATAATTTAATAAATATTTAAATATATCTATTGATTTTAGGGAGCTACAAAACTGCCGCCCCATTCAAGAGACTGACGCAAACAACCCATCCCGCGTTTTGCATTATGTGGAGTTGTCGGAACAAGTTGAAGGCAACAAGGATGACGAAGAGCCTCAAATGCGGAGACCAAGGGTCAGATGTGACACAGAGGAAACCTCTAAATGGGTAAATTTGGCAATTATGATTTTTTAAGGAATGCTAAGCATTTTCTACTTTAGGTATCACAGCAGATCATTTTTGCTAAAGGCATGTACGAGGAGAGGATTCGCACCCTGGCCACTCTTCCAGATTTGGACGACTGAAATAATTTTTTTCCCGAAATTGGACCAAAGATTTAGAACGTCAATGAGCTCAGGAAAATTGAAGGAGAATGGTGAAATCAATAATTTAATGGAATTGTGAGAGTAATTTTTCTTTGTTAGTTTTTATTTATAGAGACCATGAATCAGAGCAAGTTTAGCATCTTGCTCTAAGGCTGTGTTAATAAGAAGGTTGAAATATCAATAACGTTGAATTTTGTTAGACAGAATAATGCTTTTTGTGCATATTGATAGTGTGATTAATGTAATAATTTAGTGAAATAATGAGGCTATAGTAATAAAAGCAAATGTTTATTTTCTAGAAACTTGCTCAAATCAATTATTTCAGTCCACCACCTATATAATTATTTTCAGACTCCCTGGAAGAAATGTTATTAAGGTATAAATTTATAACCTATCAGATAATGATGAAAACAGACTAGGTATTTACAAAAATAAAAGGGTGAAGTTTTTTACAATGAATTAAAGCAAGAATGAAATACAAACATCTTAAATATATTTGTTTGAAGAAGTTGACACTCGAGGAGATGATCATGGAAATGAAGCGATCGGGCTTTTCCTCGTTGCAGAAAATTGTTTTTATTCAAAAACAAATGGCTCTACCAGTTTCGGTCACGATCTGCGACCCTATTTCATGAGCAAACGCACTGCTCGCTGAAGTTTCTTGTATAAAGTATATTATTAAAATCAATAAAAAAATACTTTCATTTTTTATTAATTTTCCTGATATTTTTAATACAAATATCTATAATTTTCATTATTTTTCTCCATATTTTTAACACAAAAATACTTCATTATTAATTTTTACTTATAAATTTTAATTATTAAAAAAACTCTGATTTTTTAATAAATTTTTCCTGGTATTTAAAAAAAATCAATAATTCAATTATTTTTTTGTATTTTAATCTTATTCCTAGTCGGCCTAAAATGATACCGTACTTTTACAAGCTCTAAATTTTTTAATAAATTCCATAGAGAGTAGATCTTTTTTAATAGTTTAATTTACATGCTGAACTGTATTCAATATATTTTTCGATTAAAAGAAGTTAGTATTATCCTACTTTTGGCCACGGCTCTCCTGTGTGGCAGTAGGTCAGCGCTGTGAGCTGTATAGCGGTACCTTGCTGGCTCATAGTTTTATGGCGCGGACGCCGTGCAGGTAAGAAAGGGTCGAGACATTTAGCTTTTCGTTTGCTGCACCGCCACTCGCGCGCGCGCCTGCAGACTCAACGCAGTCTGACGTCCGCCAGTTGTGTTTTCGATTTGCTCGGAAGTGGATCGCAATTACCCTCCGCTCATAGGATTACCACCTGCGCGCTTGCTTTTCCCGGCTCGGCAGCTGATAACAGTATGTAAAGCTATTTTTTGGTTTATCGCAGCTTTTACCTGGGCCATTGGCCCGCAAGAAAATTTTGGATAAATTTATTTGCATGGTTTTGATTTCAAATGTTAATTTTTTTTAATCTATTGATTTTGGAATTATTCTTTTGATATTAGAATTATCTTCAGTCAACCTTTTTCTTAAAGAAAATTTCTATAATTTCTTATTTAAATTTAATAATATATTATTTAATAATATTTATATAACAAATTTCAGCAAAAAAATTTTAATTAGGACTCAAATTTGTCAAAATTAAAAGATCTTTAACAGAAACTCTAAATTCGATTCTTTCTATAAAAATGATTTCAATATATTTTAAATTGTTTTCTCCTAATTGAAAAAAACCCTGCACACTTTGTGCTAGAAAATATGCATGAATTTGCATTTTTTAAGTGTGTTACCATTGTTGGCACTTGACACCTGAGGTGACATTTATTTCTTCACAGAAAAATCACCTTTTATTCTACTCTACAGTTATTTCAAAGACCAATCAATCTTTCCTTGGCCACCGGGAGCTACTTGCTAGTCAGTACATCCAAGAAGTATTGTTGAGCAAGAGCAGCGCGGATGACAAATACAAGGTTCAGTTACCACTCTTTGTAGGTCAAATGACTAATGAAGCGTTAAATGAATGCCGGAGATCCAAAAACTAGCCGAATCCTGGCTAACACAAACGTCTGTCAAGGCCAGAAAAATTTATTGTTGCCAAAAAAAAATCGACAAAAATTCTAAATAAATATTAAATATATAGCATTGGCTTAAACTCAAACTTAAGTTATTTAGGTAGAAAAAAAATATATAAAATACACTATTAAGATTTGTAAATGTTTGCATAGAAGCTAGGTTATATTTAATCAGTGCTTAATTCCATATCGAATTACGTGAAACCTCTTTCTCTCTCAATGTCAATCTGTCCCCGTTTCAGTGTCTCTGTTTTTTTATCCTCCAGCATCCGTTAGCGGCTCATTAGAGGATAGAGAGAGCGCTGATGATTTTTGCTTAAGAAAGTAAGAGGCATACTTTTTTCCCCTAAGAAATTATGTGTAATTGAGTGGCGTTTTGTTCATAATAGCTGTCGGCGCCTATATTTTATTGGTTAAAATTGATGGTCTACCTCAATTACTTCTTAATTAAAAATTTAAAAGTGGAAGGTTTAAATACATAAATATTTCATTTATTTTGTAACCGATAACTTCTTACATGGTCTAAACAGTCTAAAATTTTGCACAAGAGACTTTTCTCGAAGGAAAATTTTAAGGGCGTCTCTCTTGAGACGCCCACGCGTAAAAAATAGTCAGTGCTATAATTTTTTTAAATTTTTCTTTCATGCTTTTTCAACTCCATTTGTAAATAATTAATCATCAAAATTAAACTAACTGAAAGTTACTTACAAAGATTAAATTTTAAATGTTTATATATATATCAATAATAGTATTGTTAAAATGAATAATTAAAAAGTGAAATGAGTAAACAAGAACTACTTTAATATTTCATTACAATTTACAATTTAAATTATTTTCTTTTATCAAACTTCTCTTCCACCGATCGCAAGTCACCCTAGCACGCCTCTCACTCTCTGCCTGTAGAAGAATAAATGATGCTTTGTGTCGATAAAAGTTGCACCGGTGAATGTGGGTGGGCAGTTTCAATTGTGCCCGACATAAGCGTATGTGCTCCTTCTGGGCCAAAAATTAGTCACATCATTGTATGAGGTCCTTTCACCTACAGCAACTGCGTCATAAGGCGCTTATATTTTAAATAAAAAGTTCAAAATGGATCTTACAAAAGAAAAAGGCAATTTATTGAACCTTACTATTATAATGACCGCAAGAAATCATTTAGTTTTTCTAATTATTATAATTAAAAGCTACATTTTTTCGTATTTTGTTTTCAGATGATGGAACGCCGGAAGTGAGACAGCCTCATTAAAAACAATGGACAATTCGTCGAAACGGAAGTTCTCACTGGACTCCAAGGTGAGCGGACCGCGTTGTTTTTCAGGGGTGGAATGTAATAGGGGAAGAACAGCTGCAAAATTAAGCTCACATACCTTTCTCAGCAGCACCAAAAAAACAACGAAATATTATTATTCATTATTCAGCATTAAAGCTTTCAAATTTTAAAGCACGCGTATATAATATAATAGAATGACATTTAAATATTTCTTCCCTAATATAATCCTGTAGCTTTAATAGCTTCTAAAAAATATTTTCCCAAATATCAATTTATGTAATATTCAATTTTTTTCCAAGAATGGAAACACTCGCTTGCTGACATTCTTCTTTTTTGAATGTAATATTTAAGTTTTGTATAGTTAAGGAACTAAATATTTTGAAACGGATTAATTTATTTTAATTTTTGTGAAATTTTTTTCTTTAATATTTTACGGTTTGAAATTTAACCTTCAGATGATAATATCTAAAAAAAATTCATATGTAAATTTCGCTTTCGGAATCACGTTTTGCTTGCTCTTTTGAGAGATAACACATCCACAAGCAAGCAGCGGTGTGTGAAACGCTGCAAATTCACGGAGCGTGCCAAAAACAAAATCGTTCGACTGTCAGTCTGATTTTGTGCACGAGCGAAAATCTCTCCCGTCGTGAAGCTGAAACAAAAATCATTAAATCGGTTCGCCTCGTCTCACGAGCAGCGCTCGTCGCGATCGGATTAATTTTTTTCGCTCACACTCGAATAAGTCGAAGAAAGAAAACGTCGCACGCAATTACATTCAAATTGTACTCTCTCGATCTGATTATTTCCATTTCGCTCATCACCAGCCGCAAAACTCAATTTCTCCTTTCCCCTTTTCTGAAGGTGACGCAAGTAAATCGAGAGCACAAGGGCCAAAGGGCAAACCGAATAGATTGGGATCGTAATCAAAAATATAGTGCGGTTGGGAGAAATTTGTGCGTCTCACAATTAGCTGCGATTTGATTCTAAGCTCGTTAGATTTCCTCATTTTATTAATGGACTACAAAATTTTGAACTAGTTTTTAATTCTATAAGTGTTAATTATTTTGTTATTGTAAATAATTTAAGTACATAGTCAAGTGAGCAATGAAAGACTTCATCCAACAATGTGTTGGTTAAAATTTCAAATTGTTTTTCAATAATTGCCAGACATAAAATTGTTGTCAAGACTTAAGTTAACTATTCGGAGTCTTTAAAGGGCTGAATAAAATATTTACAATAAATGAATCTTCCATTGATCCAAAACACAGCTTTACAAAAGATTTAAGATTTTTATATTTAATTATTTTTAGAAATAGTTTATTGTTATCATTATATTTTTAACGCAACATTTTTTTTTATCTGATAGAAGATTAATCCTGCGGTATTTTTTTTATATTCGTAAAATTTTCCTCAAAAGATTTTGAAACTGGAGTGAGATAAATTTAAATATCGATATAAAATGCAGATTGTTTTTATGGATTTTTATGCCGGAACCACGAAAAGATGAAATTAAACGACCTCGATCCAAAATATCGTTCCATTTTTTAAGCATTCGTCAAGCGTGTGTGGTGCAAAATGCGTGATTTGATTCACTCGTGTGTCGTGCTTAACGGAATGGCAGGTGCACCAGCCGCCTACTAATGAGCGGCGATAATGTATAAACACAATAAACGTGCATCTTTCTCTCCTCGTCGGCTACCGGCCGTCGCTCTGCGTCGTGACCCATTTTCGTTTGCTCTTCTCATTCCCACGCGCTAAACAGATGAGATGCTGCGAGCAGAGAGACTGGCACCTTCGCAATTTAGGCGTGAATTGGCGCGAAAGAAAAAATACACAGATGCTTGTTTTGCCATTTGCCAGAGAGTTGCTACTTGCAAATCAAAACAAGGCACCTACCACACAGAGAATCTTGTTAATTACAACTCTAATTTTTGAGGTGAAAATCCGGTGAGAAATAAGAGACTTTGTCACAAATATATATTAGATTTTTCTACACTTACAGTAATTTTTTGTCTTCGATACTGAAAAAAGTATGATAAAATACTAAATTATATTATGCAAAATTTAATATTTTATCATCGTATTTCTTTTGCTCTATATTCGAATAAAAAGAAGTGAAGTATTGACGAGGAAAATTTAGCTAATTTTCTATCAAATTGGAAAAAATTGTAAATTTTGAATGGATTCCATAAGACTTGGTGTAAAAAACTTTTTAACAATATAAATAATTCATATTTTAACTAATCACTTTATTTATATCAATTTTTATCTGCCTGAATCTTTCTTTGGTAAAATTAAACTGTTGGAAATTTTGTAAAACTACATATATTTTGTGTGATCAATCAATTGATTGTATTTATTTTTAAGTTTTAGTCAAAAGTTTACATTTTCTATGTGTATAAATCGGTCTAAAAACCTTGAAGATTATAATCGTCTTATAAATTTTTTACATTTTTAATTGAAAATCTTCTTGGGGAAAAATATTATTTCTGTAAAAAATACACCGCAGTAGAATAATTTTCAGGCAATCTATACAGGAAACCCTTTTGTTAAAGAACAATGAGATTGATTCGTTCGAATGAGTGGTCGGGCAGTGGCTTGAATTTTCTCATCGGCGACTGGATCTGAAATGTCGCACTGGTCCAGTTCGGTGACTGCAGCCGTGCAGGTGCAGAATGAATTAGAGCCAACTCAAGCAGGTGATCAGAGCTCAACATTTCCCAATTTAACACAGGAAGCCGTCGCTCAAAACTAGAAAGTTTTATTTACCGAATGTACCCTAGGCAATTAATTATAAACTAACATTTTGGTTCTCAAATTATTGAAAAATAGAATAATTCATTGTGCTAAAAAAAATTTATGCTTTCTCTATTCTCTAATTTTGATCAGTGATCCAAAAAGCTTTGTTCCTCTTTCACTTGATAATTTTTCATCGGCTTTTGTTCGGACGCGTGAAATTTTTGTTTGACAGCTCGTTTGCGGCTTTGTTTTCGTGTGTTCGTTGGGAAGTGTGGTGTGAAGTGATGGTTTTGCGGTGGATTAAACACTCTTTCGGTCGCAATTAAAAGTCTGTTAAATTAATTGGGAATAATATTTTTCACGGCTTCTGTGGAAGCGACAAGGATTGATTTCCGACACGGTCCTTAACGGAACTTTTCAAAGTCAGCCACTGTTTCTAGTGTTCTTCTTTCGTCGTAAAAACTCGTTTCAAATTACCGGTTATCAAAATTTTCTAACCCAAATAATTACAAAAATCTCATAATTGCTATTTTGTATAAAAATTTTAGAGCAAAACTAATTATTATTATTATTTTTCAATCAAATAATTATTCTGCGCCTGTCTGAATTCCTTATATTTTCTCTCTTTCTCGTTACAAAGTAATTATTGCAACTCTCTTTCTTCTTTCGAGTTCGTTGGCTGCTCTCTTGATTTAAATGCCACACAAGACTAGTTTTCTCCTCGAACACCTGCCGTAAATCCAAAGTGCTCTGCGCGTTTTGAATTTCAACTTGCAACCGATCCTCCGCCGTTTACATGCAACACGAAACTTAATAGACGCATGCATCACGTTACATGCAATCAGGCAGGGATTAGTTTATGGTCAGGCTGTCAGTTTTCGCTACTCTGAATGTGTAATCACTTCCTTACAACTAACAATAAGCAAGAGCTCCAACTAATTAGCGGAGAAGTTTTGAAATTTTAAGCTACTGGTTTTATTTCTGGTCTTTATGTTTATTAAAATTTTCATTATTTCAAATGTTTATCGTTCAACACTGAAATAAAGTGTCTAATTATTTGAATCAGGGCCAAAACTAACCCAAGGAAAACTTAAAAGCTTCCGACCATTGCACTTTTGACCAGAAAAATATGTTCAAAATACAAGCTAATTTTTGCTCTTAAATCAATTTTTCCCAAGCTTATCAATTGAAGTAGCAAACAAAATTTTTTTAGGAAACATTTTTTTTTTAAATTAAAATCTATGAATTTATATTTCCAAATTAAATAATGAAACGATTCAATATAGAAATTAACAATTTTATTCGCGTCTTATGAAATCTGAAACAAGTACACTTAATTTAAGAAAAAAACACTCTCTTTAATTTTGCAGCAAACAGCGCAATTTTCTGCTCGCATGATTTTTCGATATCGCATTATAAAATATAATAATATGTAAGTGATCCAGAAAAGGTTCATTACTACTCGCAATGTGTCGCAAGCGAAGATTGGCTCTCACGAAGAATTTTCCTTTTCTTACTCTCGATAGTGTGTGTACGTATGTACGTGTATTATATTTAATTTAAAAAAACTGCACCTTTCCCCAGCTGGCGCCGGCACACACGGTGCAGAGTGAATGTGCGGCTCAAATGTCGAGCTTTACCTGCTCGAGTGCATGACATGGGAATCATGTTATACCTTGAGAGTTGATATTATATTTTCGACAGTTCTGCCCGGATGGTTTTTCTCACCGTGTGCGCGCGCGTTCTGCCTTTTAAAATCGCGGTCTCGCATTGTTTGTCGGCGGCGGCCGCGAAATTTATGCGGTTTCCAAAAATCGGCAAGAATATTATCCAGCTGTGGTCTTTGAACCGAAATCTGCGGTGTGCGGCGAGAAAACGAAAAAGCGAAATTCAAATGTTAAAGTGAGAAGCGATGTTCGTCATTTAATTATTTCGAATCGAGCATCTTTCATTTCTGCAGAAAATGAACTTGCGACTTCCTTATGAGGAGCATTGTTTCTGATTTCAAGGCTCTTTTGTAGAAAAATTCTCACAGTAATCTGGACACAAAGAATGCAATGTAAATTAGGTTGTGAATAAAATATAGTAAAAAAATATGAATATAATTATATTGCCGGCTCTACAATTCCTTCAAGTAAAAAATAACGCTTTGAAGCTTTAAACGCAATTTTTTAAATTCAGTACACAAAAATTATTTGTTGGTTTTCTCTAATATTTTGTAGAAAAGTCATTTTAGTAAAAGTTTTGTTGGGGTGCGATTCAAAGATAATAAAATAATAAGATAATAATAATATAAGAAAAAAAGATAATTCTCACACGCATTTAGAACAAGAATCTTTGTATGCATCAGCATGCAGAGAGATGCACTTTTCGTCGTCATGCACCTCTACTATTTCAGTTTTTTTTTTACAAAGGAAAGGAATATATAAATCTAGATAACGTCCTTTACTCCGACGCACCTAATTAACCATTGAAATTAAATTAATTTTTACCACACAAAAAACCCATCAGCGCGTATGGTGCAAAAATTTATCATTTAATCTAAACAAAATGTAATCAAAAAAATTTTATCTTTAAAAAAATAGTACAATGATACGCAATTGCATTTTCAAACATTTTGTTGAAGATTGTAACATTTAAAAAAAAAAAAATTATTCGGTCATTGTGCTTAATTTTATGTTACTTATTGAAAATTTAAACAAACCTAAAATCAAATTTCGAGAGCTTAAAAAGTTCTTTTAAAATACATATTTGATTTATTTTAGAATATTTGTGAATTTTTTTTTTATTAATCAATTAAATTGAAATATTTTTTGCAGAGTTCCTCATCAGGCCGATATGATCTCCGCTTCACGCGACACAAGCTCAACACCAACTACAAGTGGTGCTGTTGCGGAATAGCCACCTTCTTGACATTCCTGCTGCTGGCCTCCCTGGTTTTGTACGTGGCATGTAAGTGCAAATAAAAGCTCTTTATTTCCGTCTTCGCACTTATTTTTGAGGTGCGGTAACTGTTAAAAATTGCTGGCAGCGCACTGACTATCAGCGATAACTATATTGGACTGTTTCGAGTAACTCGGCGGCGACCTCAAAACCTTTCCGATAACATTGGCATTCTCACAAGAAAATTCAATTTACAGTTAAAGTTTCGTACTCTCCTGTGAGAAACAAATGAATTATAAAAATAAAAATAAATAAAAAGGCAAAAGAAATCTGTCCTCAATATTTATAATTATCAGAGAATCTAAGCATGAGCTGCTCATGAGCAAGATTGAGCTGAATTTCGTTCATGAGCAGCGTTGAGCAAGGGTCTAATTAAGCACATATTCGAGTGAGCACCCTACAAGTGAGCATGTTCATGAGCAGATATATCAGTTTTTTTTTTAAATTTGTGAAATCACGTTTCTAAAATAAGTTAAATGACGTTTAGCTCACTATTGAGCATGAGCATTGAGCACATGCAAGTGAGCATGCTCAAGAGCAAATGCGATGCGATTGAACACCCTCTGAGGTGAGCATGCTCATGAGCAAGATTAGTTGAGCATATGAAAACGCTCATGCTCAGAAACCCTGATAATTATTTGTTTTTAACATATTTTCTTCTTAAAAAAATAGATGAATCAATGGAGGATGAAGAATCGTCCCTGCTGTACTTTCGAGCAAATTTTCGGGTGCTTTCCGGCGACCCATTTGATTCGTCACTGGTTGACACCAACTCGACCGCCTACCGGAAGAAGACGCGCAGCTACAAAGAGTTAATAAACCTGCTTGTGCGGGGATCGGAACATCGGCATGGGTTTGTCGGGAGCGAAATCCTGGCGCTGGATGGCGTGGACGAGAAGGGCATGGCCGTTCACTTCCGTCTGCAATACGACAAAGAGAGGGCCAACGTCACCAGCGAGCAGTTGCGTGTCCTCTTTCACAAACTGGTCAACAGGACGGAACCCGTCCGGTCCGAGCATTTCAACAGACTTACCATTGACCCACAAAGCATCTATATAAGCGGTAGTTTATTTCATAATTGATGTTTTTTTTTACAAAAAAGGTTAATTAAAAACTAAATTAAAAGATTGCAGCCTCTGTTGATTATTTCAGAGCTATTTTTTTTAAATCGTTTTAAATAATAATAATAATGCTCAATAATAAATATTTATGAGGTTAAAAATAGTTTTAAAATCATATTTTAAAAAATTCACAAAAAATTGGTCAGAATTGTGAACTTCTATCTGAAAATAAAATATGACCAATACAAAATGGAATAGTTAAACAATTTTGAAATTATTTAAATTTATTTCAAATTTCATATTACCTATATATTTTTTTTATCTCTTATTAATTTTTTATTATTAGAACTCTCTTAAAATTCGATTCAATATTTTTTAAATAAATTTCATTTTGCTTTATTTTAGAGCCTGGGACAACAATGGATAGTGAGGAGCCAATGCTGCAAGTGTCTGACCAATCCGTGCAACTGGTGGTGACCACCACAACAACTGAAGCACCCCCGAAGTGCGCCATGTCCTCCCTGGACTACTGCAATTACAAGAATTCCACCGTCTATCCGAACATTTTTGGCCACCGAAATATAGAGCAGGTCAAAGACGATCTTGTCCGTTTCAGGTTCGAATATTATATTAAAAAAATATTAACAAATTTAAACAAAGCAATTAATTTACAGGGAGATTGTTGACTCGGAGTGTCACCCGTTGGGCGCTTACGAGTTTGTGTGCAAACTTTTGCAACCACCATGCGAGGACCCTTCGAACGTGACCCTGCCCCTGACCTGCCAAACTGAGTGTGACTCTTTCATGGTGAACTGTAAGGAACGATTGAGTGAAGACCTCCTGCAGACGATCGACTGCAGCCAGGAGGAAATTTACGACGCAGACTGCTGAATTTTGTGTTACTTTAGAATTTAGAGAAAGAAAAAATAATTCATTCTTTTTCATCTTGTAATACGAATTTAAAGAAATTATTTATTACGATTAAGGTGTTAATTTAAGATAAATAAAATAATCATTGAAATTGAAAATGTTACAAAAATTATTCAAAGTCAAAGTTCTTTCCTCATTGCAGCGGTGAAAAATTTATATTCGATTTTTAATTATTTCTGATTTAAAACTGTTTAGGAATAAAAAAATCGTAATAATCATGATTTATTTGCAAGATCAGTAGAAACAACTGGAACACTCGCCACATGAAAATGATTGGTAGTGGACGTGGCTTTTGCGCAAACGCCGAATATTGGTTGACGTTGATTTTTCATTTCCCTAGATCCGATTCCGCGTGGAAATGAGGAACGAGCAGGGCTTTCTGTTGAAATTCGCTCTTCTGGTAATAACGTGCTTTGTAATTTATACATTCCGACGCTCAGAAGATGATTCGGAAATGAAAATTTGGGAAATTAAGGAAATTCGATCCAACATGCACTTAGAGAATGATACAAAAATTTCCCTACTTAAAAATTTAAACTTCTCGGAGACCGTTTTAAAAGTGGATACGACCAACATGACTAACGAGAAGATATTGAAAAAAGTAATTTTCCCATTTAATTAATTAGTTTCTATAAATATCAAGCTTTTTACGTAGATTGAGGAAACAAACCCTAATTTGCCCATGGATCACTGGGATGTAAACGATAACGGACCACAATTTAACGGAAGCTGCGCTAATTACGCGAATGTGTACAAAATAAAATTCAACAACGTCTACTGGCAAGTGCAGAAAATTAACAACGAGACGTACTATCTGTACAGCGCTTATTACGACAACCGCACTCTTTTAAATGGGACCGGACCACTTGTTCGAATTCTAGCCATGACCGACGTTAGAAATCTGACGGAAAATGTCACTTGCCAATTCTGGTACCATAATGACCCAAAGCCGGAAATATCAATGGTAAAATTATACAAGTTAAAAAATAAGTTTTAAAATAAAATTATTAATCATTGATTTTCCTGTATAGAGGGAATTTCAAAACATTTTCAATCATATCATAATATATCTCAAACAGTGCATTTTTGAGCACAAAATATTTCTGCCTGAAAAAATAGAACCCTTTTATTGACGTAACTATCAAAAATCAGTCTGATAAAAATAGCAATAATTTAAAAAAAATCTATTATACTTATTGATTTCAATATTAGTCCATTTGGTTTTTACATAGCTAAGTTTTAAGCAGACTTAATTAATTTGCTATATAAAAATTAAACGTGAAAATAAATGCGATTTTACATTTTTGGACAAAAAACATGAAGCTGATGTATAAAAATTTTAACATACTTTCAATTTTATAATTTTAAAATGTTTGAGACGTAACAATAATTTTGTTAACTAGGTCGTGCAATATCAGTACATGTGGTACACTTATTGGGGCAACGACAAAGCACCTGCCCAGCCATACCTCCTGGCTTGTTCGGTACCATCGAAAGGTCGAGTCCCGGCGTCCGTTTCTCTGGTCGCCAACCCTTGCGACAACGCCACAAACAACCTCAGGGTGATTTACAAACCGGCACCGCTGGGAAAAAGGCAAAACTTTGTCATCTGCGTGAAGGCGCTCAATTTTCAGCATCTTTCTAGTTTGGCCATCAGACTGGTCGAATGGATTGAGCTCCACAAGATTCTCGGCGCTGACAAAATAGTTTTCTACAAATTTGGCGTAAATTTCTTGACACAAAATTCATTACTAAAAAAAAGTTTAATAAAAAATTGTGAATAATTTTTAAAAATAGTTATAAAAGTTTGAAATTGTTTTGCAAAAATTCCAGACTCACCCAAACGTGACGAAAGTTTTGGATTATTACTTGCCGTCAGGATTCATAGAAGTGTCCGAAACTTCCCTGCCAGGCGGTTTACCAAACATTCCGGATTTCATGCAAATGTATATGAGCCAGCGAGCGTGGGGAGTGCAATATCTGCACGAACTGATCCAATACAACGACTGTTTTTATCGGAACATGTACATGTACGACTTCGTTGTACTAGTCGACATTGACGAGGTAATTAAATTTTTTAATCTGCTGAAAAAAATTCTATAATTTGATGATTTTTCACAAAACCAAAATTAATTGAAGATTTAAAAAAATCGTAAATTAAAAATTTATACATATATTGGTTTAAAACTAAAAAATTAAGAGCTTTAAAACAAAGAGTACCAAGATAGATAAAAAATTTAAAATTTACCAATATAGATTTCAGTGTAATAAATATTTGATGAATACGGAATTACAAAATAAAACATTCAGTTTAAGTTTATTGTCACTCAACCAGGTGATTCTTCCCTTAACCTCCGACACGTGGTACGACCTGATCTACAAGGTGGTCATTCCGAAGGCTACGAACTGGACCCTGAAAATGACCCCTGCCTCGTACATCGTGCGCAACGTGCACTTCATGGACGACAAGGCCGAGTATCAGGACTGGTACGTCGACATACCCAAGTACATGCACATGCTGCAAAACGTGCATCGCAACGCGAGCCACACGGGTCCTGGCAACGCCGTCAAAGGGTTCCACAACCCGCAGATGATCAAGGCGCTGCACAACCACATGCCCAGGGCGTGCATCAACCACAAGGACAGCTGGTGTCCATTGTACGACGTCGACCTGGCCGATGCCCACATGCAGCACTACTGCATCGCCAGGCACAAGCCGGAGTGCCAGCGCCTTCGGGGCAAAAACGAGACCATATTGGACACGTCAATTTGGAAGTACAAGGAAAGGCTCGTTGCAGCCACGACCAGAGTTTTAAAGGATGTTGGTTTCTTGTAAAATTAACATATTGATTAACGAACGCACAGTGTGAGTTTTTAAAAAATGTGACTTTGACTTAAAGATAATTCTTGTGTAATTTTGTTAGAAAATGAATATATTTAAAAAAAAAAGGCGAAAAACACCGGGGTTTTTTTTCATGAAATCCACCCAGAGTGTTATAGCTTTCAATTTACAAAAAGTGTTTGAAGTACGGAATACAATTTATTTTAAATTGGTTTTCATTCTAGGTTTATTATGTTGCTCCACGATTTTTATAAAAAAGAAAAAAAAATACTTAATGATAAAATAATAATTTTATAAATAAAAGAATTTGAGAACTGGATAATATAAAAATTTGGCTTTTTCAAGCAGCAAATTAAATATTTCTCCATAATGAAATCAATGAAATGTACTATAAAAATATCTAAATATTATTTAATTTTTTCTATATTTTCCACCAGATATATGAAATTAAAACAAAAGAAAATTGGCGGAAAAATAAAAAACTCCAAGCATTATATACTAGGTGTTTAATAAGCCTCATTCATTTATTCATTCATCTATTGTACGCTCAGGGAAATTCGAGGGAGTGACTGCTGCATGTGATGGAAAAACACGTCACAAAGGCTGCAAACTTCCGTTGACGTTGTGGCAGCCAGCTTGCCCATTTCTAAAAAGCAAAATTAAATAGAAAAGTTTTACAAATCAGAAAATCGCTGTGCAACATTTTTCTGGAGTTGGAGGACAACTTGCGTAACATTGTGAGCTCATAAACGAGCAGGAAGTATTCTCATGGACGTGACACGGAGTGAAAATCAGTGGAATTAAAGACGACATGTGCAACATCGAGCAATGGCGATTCACCTTTTTCGCCATCACGCTTGGCGTTCTTATTGTGACGATGTGCTTGAACATTCAGAATTTTTCGTCGGTTCAGGATTTTCCTAAAATCGTCCCTGATTTCAACAAAACAATTCTTGCCAACAAGCTGGAAAACTTTGTCAAAATTGACAATATAAATGTGACCAACGATTTGGTCTTAAAAAAGGTCAGATTCTATAATGAATTAAAATATTTACCTGAATTTTCATCTTTTTTCACTTATCTTAATTTTCATTCAAGATTTAAAGAGTAAAAAAAGGCCGGCGCAAAATTCAATAATTAAAACTAAAAACAATTTATAATGTCTAATTATATATAAATTCAAATTTGATTTTTGATGTACTTCTAATTATTTGACCTAATTTATCAGATGGGAGAAAGCAACCCAAATTTAGTTCTCCATCGCTCGTTGACCGAATGGGGGCCACGTTTCAACAACACTTGCGCCTATTACGTCAACACTTTTGACACGAAATTCAACAACCTTTACTGGCAGGTTCAAACCTACCCGAACGAAACGTTCTACCTTTTCGGCGCCTATTTTGACAACCGGACAGCTCTGAACGACACTGGTCCCTTTGTCCGGATCATCGGAATGCTGGACAAGAGAGACTACTTTAAAAATCTCTCCTGTCAGTTTTGGTTCAAGAGCGAAACGCAACCAACAATCGGGAACGCAAGTCAAAAATCAAATTCTGGAATAAAAATTAATTCACATTTAAGATCACTGAGAATTTCTACTTGTGGAGAAAGGAATGGGGCTACGCAAATTTAGAGCTGCACCCTTACATGTTCAGCTGCAAAGTTCCGTTCCAAAATCGGGTGCCGGAATCTGTATCATTGGTGGTCAACCCCTGCGATAACGCCACCAACAACCTCAGGGTCATCTACAACCCTGCTCCCCTAGGGAAAAAGAAGCACTTTGTTATGTGCGTGAAGGCGCTCAACTTCCGACAAAAGGCCGACTCCTCTGTCAGACTGGTCGAGTGGTTGGAAATGCACAAAATTCTGGGCGCTGACAAAATCGTCATTTACGAATATCAGGTTATAAAATTTTCAATCAAAAAATAATTATTTTCTTTTATAACTTGAAACTACTCTAATTAAATCGCACGCTTCTTTAACAAAATTAAAGGAATAAAAAATAACAAAATGTTTTGAAAATTGATAAATATTAAATTTAAAGTAGCAGATTTTCCTATTGTTGTACTTCAACAACGTTTGATGTTTTGAACAAAAATTTATAACGGCAGTGATTCAAAATTATAAGGGAAAATCTCTCTTTACAATCTATCTATCTATTAAATTTTATGACATATTTTTTTTGGTTTTTTTCATCTTTGATATTTTTTTAGGTGCATCCAAACATGTCAAAAGTGTTGGAATACTACAAATCAACAGGTCTTCTGGACGTGGTCAAATTCTCCTTGCCAGGGTACCACGCCAACATCCCTGACTTCATGTCCATATTTCTGCGACACAGAGCCGCGATCCAGTTTCTCCTCGAACTGATCCAGTACAACGATTGCATGTACAAGCACATGTACATGTACGATTTTGTCGTCGTCGTCGACGTTGATGAGGTTGGTTTTTTTTTTTTAATTACCTTTGGTACTAAGCAATAGATAAGGTCAGTAAACGGAGAGAAAATAGTAAGAAACATAAATAATTTACTTTCATTCATATTTTTTTTTTTATTTGTTTTGTTCAGATAAACTCTTCTTAGTAAAAGTAAATCTGATAAAAAAATCAAGGAAATGGAATTATAATTTGGTTTTATTTTCATACTTTGTACTAAATAAATTAAAAAAAAAATTTCAGGTGATTTTGCCATTGAGCACTGACACCTGGTACGACCTGATTTACAAAAAGACCATCCCAAAAGTAGCCAATGTAAAACCACCACCTGCTGGCTTCGTAGTGCGCAACCTGATTTTCGCCGACGATAAGGCCGAATTGCAGGACTGGTACCCTGATATTCCCAGATACATGTACCTTCTTCAGAATGTCCAACGTAACGTGAATTACACTTATCCACCTGGGGACGGCGTCAAGGCGTTCCACAACCCGCAAATCGTGTTCGCCCTTCACAACCACCTGCCTAGGCAGTGCATTGGGCACCCTGACGGATGGTGTCCGTTACATGATTTTGACCTGAAGGACGTGCACATGCAGCACTACTGCACCGGCAAGGAAAAAGACGAGTGCAAGTTGCATAGAGGCGTCAATTTGTCAGTGGACACTTCGATTTGGAAGTACAATGACCGACTAACTGAGGCCACTGGCAGAAGTCTCAGAGAAATTGGACTGTTGTAAAGGGAAGGGAAGGTGAAAAGGCTGGACGTGTTGCATGAGGCTCGATGCTGCTTCTCCACCGGAACGTTTTCAAACAAAATTGTCTTTTTGAATCAACTAAAAGAATCTCCTTTCTTAAATGCATGTTCTTGAATTTTTGGTACAAGCTGTTTGAAAAACCAGGAGCTATTTTTTCGTTTGATTTATTACTACTAGAATTGATTACTATGCGCAAAATATTTGTTCTTGTCATTTCATAAAATAAATCGCTGAAAGCTGATAATGTAGTATTAAAGGGATTGTATGAAACAAATAAATACAGAAAAAGTTGACATGAAAGTTAATATTTTATAATTATATAAAAAGATACATTCTTTCCTATGGATTAAACTTGTCTTCAATTTTAAAATTTAAGTAAAATTAAGGAGCATTATTTTACACTTCATCACCTTTATTGTCATTAAAGTTTTGCCACTTTTTCTTCAAGAATTCAATCATGAGTTTTTATACCTGGTAGAGAAAACATATAATTATCCCAAGTATAAAATTATTAATAATTATTATTATTATTATTAATTTTTTTTCTTTCAAAAAACCAATCAGAAATATACCAAAATTTACATCCCGATAGAAATTACTGTGGTGCTATTGTTTTTCATGACGCGTGGAAAGTTCTAGAAAAGGTTGGGAGCGCCAGTTTTTTGCTATCCTGTACGTCAAAGTAAAATGATATAAACGTTAATGTTTCCATTTTTCATTTGTACTACCTGGTTGTTAGAGCACAAATTCTGAAAATTTGAAATTTGAACAGTTACAAATGACATGGGAAAGTGCCAGAAGCTTAAATTTTTTGTTTCCTTACTTACACTTATTGTTGTAACGGTTGGGGTGCACTTCAGTTTGCAAAGTTATTTGACTGGAAATTTAAAAATTTTTGCACTCCACAATTTAAAATTGGGGTATCTGGATAAAATCGACAAAACGAACATTACCCAGGAGCTGGTATTGAAACGGGTTAGTATATATTTTTACAATCTTATAATAAAATTATTATTTTACACAAAAGTAAGTGATTTTTTTTAATTTAAAGAGAAACTGAGAAGAAAATGTAGCATTCTGTTTTCCAACTAAATAGATAATCCAGCCAATTGAAAATAATAAGAGATGATAAAAATCAATAAAAGTTTTTAATTGATAAGCTGTAAAAATTTTGTCGTAGTATTGAAAAAAAAATGAGATTTCATGTTTATTAAAATTAAAACAGTTTAAAAATATTTTGTACTTAAAAATTTCAATCCTTAATTAGGGTATTAATGTAATGTCAATTAAGAAAATATGGTTCTGTAAAGCACCATGATTGAATCAGATAATACAGTTAAAATTCACGAATTTAAAGATTTTTTTTAAATTACTCACAATCTTGCTGGAAATAATACATAATGTTTGATGCTTCCGAAATGTTTATAATAAAAAGGAATGATATTTATAATAAAGGTTGCTGACACAAATTCAAATTTGGTTCTACAACGTCCTCTCACATTATGGGGGCCACGTTTCAACAATACATGCGCTCAGTACGTCAACACTTTTGACACGAAATTCAACAACCTGTACTGGCAGGTCCAAAGCTATCCTAACGAAACTTTCTACCTTTTCGGCGCCTATTATGACAACAGGACAGCTCTTAACGACACTGGTCCCTTTGTCCGGATCATCGGAATGCTGGACAAGAGGGACTACTTTAAAAATCTCTCTTGTCAGTTTTGGTTCCAAAATGAAACCCAACCAACTATCGGAAACGCAAGTCAAAAATCCAATAATGGAGTAAAAATTAATGTAAATTTTAGATCACTGAGAATTTCTATTTGTGGAGAAAGGAATGGGGTTATGAAAATGCAGAGCTGCACCCTTACATGTTCAGCTGCAAAGTTCCCTTCAAAAATCGGTTACCTGAGTCTGTTTCGTTGGTGGCCCACCCGTGTGACAATGCAACCAACAACCTCAGGGTCAACTTCAACCAACCTCTTCTTAAGGAAAAGCAAAATTTCCTGGTTTGTGTGAAAGGTCTGAATTACAGACATAAGGCGGACTTTTCAATCAGGCTGGTAGAATGGTTGGAACTGCACAAAATTTTGGGAGCTGATAAAATCGTCATTTACGAACTGCAGGTCAAAAATAAATATTTTGTTTTTGAATTTTATCCGACATTAAATTTTGAAGGTGCATCCAAACACTTCAAAAGCTTTGGAACATTACGTAAAATCTGGGTTTGTGGAATTGGTCAAAACTTCATTGCCTGGTTTCTACAGCAACGTCCCTGATCTCATGTCTGTATTTTTGGTGAAAAATCTCCATGTCCAAATGTTTCAAGAAGTCATCCAGTACAACGATTGCTTGTACAAATATATGAACATGTACAATTTCATCGTGCTGGTTGACGTAGACGAGGTGAGCTTTAACAATAAACAAACCGTCCTTTATCAGGAGAGAAAATCAGAATTTTCAATAAAAGAAATATTTTTAAATGATTTATTATTAAATATTTTTTAAAAATCCTAGGTTTTTAAAGTGCCAGCAGACCGCAGGTCACCTTTTGGGGTCAGCTGTCCTTTACTTTTTCAATTATCTTTGCAAGGAGGTTCACCCGGTTTCAATTTTTTAATATAATTAAATTTAATAATTCCAAATAAATTAAATAAAAACCTAGTTAATATTTTTACCAACTTTAATTCTTTCTTGTTATTAAAATATCTTAATGTACTTGCAGGTGATTTTGCCATTGAGCACTGACACATGGTACGACCTAATTTACAAAAAGACAATCCCAAAAGTAGCCAATGTAAAACCACCACCTGCAGCCTTTAAGGCGCGCAACCTGATATTCGCCGACGACAAGGCCGAATTGCAGGACTGGTACCCTGATATTCCCAGATACATGTACCTCCTACAGAATGTCCAACGCAACGTGAACTACACGTTTCCATCTGGAGCTGGGATCAAGGCGTTCCACAACCCGCAAATCGTGTTCGCCCTTCACAACCACCTGCCCAGGCAGTGCATCGGGTACTCTGACGGCTGGTGTCCGGTGCATGATTTTGACCTGCAGGACGTGCACATGCAGCACTACTGCACCGGCAAGGAAAAAGACGAGTGCAAGTTGCATAGAGGCGTCAATTTGTCAATGGACACTGCGATTTGGAAGTACAAAGATCGACTAACTGAGGCAACTGGCAAAAGTCTCAAAGAAATTGGACTACTGTAAAGGAAAGTGGAGGTGTTGCATGAAGCAAAATGCTGCTTCACTCTAATTGGACATTTTAAATTGTCATATTTATTTCGCTACAAAAAACAACTAGCTGCAAAGAGGCAACAGAATCCAAGATTTTTAACAAGGAAATGAAACGCTGCATTGTTCTCAAATTTTTATTGAAAGATGATTTAAAGCCCAAAATTCTAGAATTGTTTGTAAGTTATACAAAAATTAATTTTAAAATTTATAAAAATGGAATTTTGTTACGTCTTTATAAAATAAATTCTTAGCGAAACAACAATGAATAATCTCGAAAGAATGAAATAAAACCTCGACGGTGTTCGTATTTTGACAATGAGGAATGACCAGTCATTCGCATTGAAAGACTTTTCCGCGGAGTATTTTCCTAACTTGTGTCAAAATTTTAGTACTCACTGGTAATGGAGTGCAGTATAGCTTAATAAAAATTGTTTGCTGGCAAAGAGCTATTATTTCTCCATTCTTCCTGACTGTGCTTTCAATGCTTTGTCATTTTTTTTTTAATTTGGTGCATTTTGTCATTCTTGATGTGATCAATTTTTTGTTAGTTGTTTGAAAATATTGATGAACAAATATATGATATAATTATAAATTGTGATTTTCCAGATTCAAACTTAAATAAAAGTAAGGAGAATTACCTACATTTTATCACCCCCCCCCCCTCCCCCTGTGGATGTCAGATTTTGATATCTGGTGAAAATATTTCAAAACTATATATTTGCTTAAAATTATTAAATAAAAAAAAAAAAAAAATGGGAATTTACACAAAAAATTCAATGCAAATTTAATAGATACAGATGAAACTGCTGTCGCATTTCATGACGTATGGATTCAACACAGGAAAAGGAATGAGCGCTAGTTTTGTGCCATCCTGAATTCAGGTCACAGCTGTAAAATGCGATAAAAGTCTTTTTCCATTTTTCACATTTTCTGCCTGGCGTTTGGAGCACAATCCTGAAAATTTGAATAGATGCAAGTTTAATGGAAAAGAGCGGGAAATTTAAATTTTTTGTTTCCTTAATTACGCTTATTTTTGCAACATTTGCTGTACACTTCAGTTTGCAAAGATTTCTGACTGGAAATTTAAAAAATTTTTCCTTCAAGAACTTTAATTTGGATAAAATCGACAAAACGAACATTACCGAGGAAATGATATTGAAAAAGGTTAGTATAAATTTTTTTCTAAATCATTTTTTTTTTACCATAAACATTACAGAAGCAAATAATTTTAATTTTTTTCAACCACTTAAATCTAAAGAGAGCAATGAAAACAAAATGTTAAGCATTCTGTTTCACAAACTACTGAGGATGACGCAGCCAATTTATTATAATATATGCGATTTGAACATGCCAAAAATGTTATGAATAAATAAAAATTATATAATATATTATGTAAAAAATGTGCATTCAAATTTAATAAACTTTATAATTTTAATATTTAAAAACAAAATCTCAAACAATCTAGGGAAAAAATTTAAAAAAATTGGTATTGAAAAACGTCCCATGATTGAATCAGAGAGAAAAGTTAAAAGTACCCACGAGTTTAACTGTTTTAATAGAATTCTCACATTCTTGCCAAAAAAATTAGAAATCAATTGAATGCTTCCGATATTTTTGTTCAACAAAAGGTTATCTATTTTTAAAATGAAGGTTGCTGACACGAATCCAAATTTGATTCTACAACGTCCTCTGACAATATGGGGGCCACGTTTCAACAATACATGCGCTCTTTACGTCAACGCTTTCAACGTGAAATTCAACAACCAGTATTGGCAGGTGCAAAACTACCCAAACGAAACGTTTTACTTGTACGGCGCCTACTTTGATGACCGGGCGGCTCTAAATGACACTGCAGACACTGGTCCCTTTGTCCGGATCATCGGAATGCTGAACAAGAGGAACTACTCCAGAAATCTCTCCTGTCAATTCTGGTTCGAGGATGAAGATGTACCATTATTTGGAAATGTAAAATGCGGAAACTCCTTAAAATCACGAATATTTTTCAATGATGCAAATCATAATTTTTTTTCTGATTTTATCAATAGATTACTGAGAATTTTAATTTGTGGCCCGAATATTGGGGCTACGAGGACGCCGAGCTGCACCCCTACATATTTAGCTGCAGATGTCCCTTCAAAGATCGTGTACCTGAGTCCGTCTCGTTGATGATCAACCCTTGTGACAATGCCACAAACAACTTAAAAGTCATCGACAACCAACCTCTACTTAAGAAAAAGCAAAATTTCCTGGTTTGTGTGAAAGGCCTGAATTACAGGCACAAGGCAGACTTTTCAATCAGGCTGGTTGAGTGGTTGGAATTGCACAAAATTTTGGGTGCTGATAAAATTGTCATATACGAGCTGCAGGTGAATAAAATAGTTTTATTTATATATTATTTAATCTGAAATTAAATTTTAAAGGTGCATCCAAATACCTCAAAAGTTTTGGAACATTACGTACAATCTGGGTTTGTGGAATTGGTCAAAACTTCATTGCCTGGTTTCTACAGCAACGTGCCTGATCTTATGTCGTTATTTTTGGTGGAAAATCTACATGTCCAAATTTTTCAAGAAGTCATCCAGTACAACGATTGCTTGTACAAATACATGAACATGTACAATTTCATCGTGCTGGTTGACATGGACGAGGTGAGCTTTCACAGTAAAATTATTATGGATTCTTAGTCCTGCACCAGCAGACAAAATCAGAATGTTAAAAAAAAAAAAAAAAAGAATATAATATGTTTCTGAAGTAGAATTTACGATCGAGGGTTGATTCGTGGTGAATTAAAAGTCAGCTTTCCCTCTATGAGTTTTGTGAGTTGTTTATTTAAGAAAAAAACAATATATCCTACTCAACATGTTTCGGCTGCGGGCTTTGAGCTTTCTCGGCGGTGGTCGAGAGAAGACTCTGTGTGAAACATGTAGAGCAGGATATTTATTTTTCTTTAACAATAAACAACTCACAAAACCCATTGAGGAAAAGCCGACTTTAAATTCAAATCACCAAACAAGAATATGTTAAAAAAAGAAAGGATTAAAGAAGCAAAAAATCCTAAAAATCGTAGATGATAAATTAAATACACACACACACTTTTAATGATTTTTTTTTTAAAGAAATTAAAGGATTATTTATATGTACTGCAGGTGATTTTGCCGTTGAGCTCTGACACGTGGTACGACCTGATTTACAAAAAGACCATCCCGAAAGTGAACGACACAGACAAAATACCTGCAGCCTTTGTGGCGCGCAACCTGATTTTCGCCGACGACAAGGCCGAAATAAAAGACTGGTACCCTGATATTCCCAAATACATGCACCTCCTTCAGAATGTCCAACGCAACGTGAACTACACGTTTCCACCTGGGGACGGCGTCAAGTCGTTCCACGACCCGCAAATCGTGTTCGCCCTTCACAACCATTTTCCCAGATCGTGTATTGGTTACGACAATGACTGGTGTCCAGTACACGACTTTGACCTGAAGGACGCGCACATGCAGCACTACTGCACCGGGAAGGGAAAAAACGAGTGCAAGTTGCAAAGGGGCGTCAATTTGTCGGTGGACACTTCCATTTGGAAGTACAAGGACCGGTTGATCAAGGCAACCAGCCAAAGGCTGAAAGAAATTGGGTTCTTTTAAAAATAATGCGAGTGTGAGTTTTATTAATTTCAGGCCTTATATGTAAAAATATTTCTTAAACTAAAATTGTTACTTTGTTTTTAAATTTTTGATAAAGAAAATTTCACCAAATTTTTGCATTTTATTTACGGAGCAGAATCATTTGACTCATTTTTTCACATCGAATCGAGTTTTGAAATTTTTTATTGCAAGAATATTTGTAATTTTCTTTTCACGATGGAAAGAAGCAAAAATCATATAAAGCGACACAAACTATATTATAAAATTTCCGAAATATACTAATGAAACCAGACGGAACATTTGCTGCGCTGAACAGGAAGAGGTATTCAGTGCTTTGCTTGACGTTGCTCTGAAAATCTAGGTCAAAATAATTCCATTTTTCAAACTAACTGCCTCGATGTAAGAGCATAGCTCTTGAAAATCAAATGGGGAAAAGCAAGAAATTAAAATTTGTCATTTCTTTTATAGCGCTTATTATCTTAACGTTTATCATACACCTCAGTTTGCAGAGTTATTTGACTGGGAATTTAAATAATATGTTAAAGAGTTTAAAATCGGATTATTCTGATAAAATCAGCAACACCAATATAACAAAAGATATCGTCTTGAGAAAGGTTAGTATAATAATTGTTTTATTAAAAAATTACCATGCATTTTTCAAACTTTAAAAAGATTTTACATTCATTAAACAAAAATTATCTATGCTTTGAAATTTTACAAAGTTTTAAATTAAAAGTATAATTAAATTTCAGTTTATTATTTTTTGAAAAATATTATTTAATTTTTCTGTTCGCAATAAAACTTTGCTTCATTTACATTTTTGAACTATGAATAGATTGACTTCAATCATTGGTGTTGCAAAGCAAAATCAGAAAACAATTCAACAATTTTAGAGGCTTTATTAACATCGTCATTTTATTAATATCCCCCTATTATTTAACAACTAATTAACTATTCCTTAAATTTTTCTATACTCTACTACAATAATAAAGGTCGCTGAGAAAAATTCAAATTTGGTTTTCCATCGTTTGCAACTTGAATGGGGTGCCCAGTTCAACAATACGTGCGCCCTGTACGTCAACGCTTCCAACGTGAAAATCAACAATAAGTATTGGCAGGAACAAAACTATCCCAACGAAAATTTCTTACTTTTCGGCGCCTACTTTGACAACCGGAGGACTTTGAAAGACACCGGTCCCTTTGTCCGGATTATCGGAATGCTGGACAAGAGGGATTACTTCAGAAATCTCTCCTGTCAATTCTGGTTCGAGGGTGAAGACAAACCAACATTTGGAAATGTAATTTAGAGTAAAAAAATAATACCTTGTAGATATAAAAATTTATTTCAATTTTGATAGATTACTGAGAATTTTTATTTGTGGAACAAAATTTGGAACTACGAGGACGCCGAGCTGCACCCGTACATATTCAGCTGCAGAGTTCCTTTTAACGATCGCGTACCTGAGTCCGTCTCGTTGGTGGCCCACCCCTGTGACAATGCCACAAACAACCTGAGGGTCAATTACAACCAACCTTTACTGGGAGAAAAACAAAATTTCCTAGTTTGTGTGAAAGCTCTGAATTTCAGAGAAAGGATGGCCTTTTCAATAAGGCTCATTGAGTGGTTGGAAATGCACAGAATTTTGGGCGCTGATAAAATCGTCATTTATGAATTGCAGGTAAATGAATGGTAGGAATTTTTTTTTAATTTAATTCAATTTGAATTTTGAAAGGTCCATCCCAACGTCTCTAAAGTGTTAGACTATTATGTGAAATCTGGTTTTGTAGATGTGATCAAAACATCAATGCCTGATTTTCACAGCAACATTCAATTCTTTCATGAGGTCGTCCAGTACAATGATTGTCTTTACAAATACATGAACACGTACAACTTCATCGTTCTTGTCGATGTTGATGAGGTTAGATTTGAAAATTCACATGTGCAAAATATACGTTCTATAAAAATTATTTTGAATTTAATTTAATAATATGGAAAGAAACATTCAAACTAGCTGGAAAATTTTGTTTTCATTCTAGGATTATTTATTTCTCTTTGAGATGATATTCATTGAATTTTAAATATTTGAAAAAATTCAATTTTCAACAAATAAAATTTAAATTTTCAGGTGATTTTGCCATTGAGCACCATCACATGGCATGACCTGATTTACAAAATAACCATCCCGAAAGTAGCAAATGTAAAACCACCACCCGCAGCCTTTGTGGCACGCAATGTGTATTTTGCTGACGACAAAGCCGAATTACAGGATTGGTACCCCGACATTCCCAGATATATGCGTGTGCTGCAGAATGTGCATCGTAGCATGGATCCCCAGCCTCCTGGAGACGGGGTCAAATCGTTCCACAACCCGCAACTCGTGTTCGCCCTTCACAACCACCTGCCCAGGCAGTGCATCGGGTACCCCAATGGCTGGTGCCCGTTGCACAGATTTGACTTGAAGGACGTGCACATGCAGCACTACTGCGATGGAATAGAAAAGGACGAGTGCAAGTTGCAAAGAGGCGTCAATTTAACGGTGGACACTTCAATTTGGAAATACAAAGACCGGCTGATAAAAGCTACGAGGCAAAGGCTGAAAGAAATTGGGTTCCTATAAAATTGGAACGGAATTTTGTTTACTAAAAAAGCAAAAAATACAATTGTTTAAGAAAAGTGAGAAAATCGTTAGGCTTATTAGCCTGAAAATGATTAAAAATTAAATTCGAGACGAAAATAAATTGTAATTTAATGAACAAAAAATACAAATTAATAATTATAATCTGATGATAATAATATAGATAATTCTTTCAACAATACTTTTGAGAATATGTTTTGAAAATAACCAAAAAATTTGAATTTAAGCTGTAAAAAATGATATAATCATGGAAACGTTCATTCAATCAATCCTTTGAAAGTAAATTAAAATTTACTTATCTCACGGTCTGTAATGAATGAAGAGAGCGCAGTGGATCAAAATTACAGCTTTCATTATGGCGTATGCGCCAATAATTCTCGTCAAAGCTGGGTCTGAAAATAACGCTCAATTATTTTAAATATCCAATCCTGAATATATGACCAGCTAAACACGTAAGTCGAGCCGGTTGCCTACCAACCTTGGTCGCCGGCAGCAGCTTGGTTGGTGGCGTTGGCGCCGACCACGATCACGTCGTCGAGGAACGTCCGTTTGTCGATGAAGCAGCGGAAGGCCGTGCCCAAGTCCATGAAGGCTACAAACGCGATCCAGCCCCGAAAGGCGTACATCAGTTTCTCGCCAATCTCAAATCCGAACATTTCATGGGCCCAGAGAGGATTTTTTTCCCGCAAGATTAAAAACCTCTGTGTTGTTCCGAGGGCATTCTTGGATATAAACACCCTCCCCAGCTGGCACGTGCGCCCTCGCGCTGCCTGAAAATCTGATCTCATATTATTACTTGAAAAAGATTTTTAACCTTTCAAAATAAAATAAAAATTTTTATTTTTCAGTTTTTCCTACTGAACTTTTGTTCAAGCAATTAAAGATCAAATTAAAGTGGAAAGAAAAAAAATTCAATCACCTGCATGCACTTTAAGATCTGATTAGAACATTTAGAACAGATCAGATCAGTACTTAATTATTCAATCGACGATCAAAAGCAAGTAATATTGGTTGGATCAGGCTCCTAATAATAATTATAATCAATATTTTATCTAATCAAACCTAGCTAGTTTTAAACCCTTTCTTCTCTTTTTTCCAATATAAATATTTTTTCGTATCGACGTAGAAGAATTAAAAAATAATAATAAATAATAACATTGCAAAAAAATCATGTTTTTGTATTGCCTGCATGTTTTTCAGCCGATATCCTTTTTTCAAATTTAAATAAAAGTAAGGAAAATTAACTACATTTTATCACCCCTGTTGACGTCAGAGTTTTGCCATCTTTTGATTGATAATTAAATTACAAATTTTCATATCTGGTGAAAATGTTTTTAAACTATATTAACTTAAAATTATTAGAAAAAATGATAATTTAACGAAATTTTATTGCAAATTTAAAATACAGATAAAATTGCTCTCGTATTTCATGACGAGTGGATTCAACAGGAAAAGGAATGAGTGCTAGTTTTGTGCCATCCTGAATTCCGGTCACAGCTGTATAATTATCAAAGTAAAATGCAATAAAAGTGTATTTCCATTATTTGTTCGTACTGCCTAGCTAGTGTTAGGAGCACAGTTTTAAAAATTTGAACATCATCAAGTTTAATGGAAAATAGCGAGAAATTTAAATTTTTTGCTTCCTTACTATTACTTATTTTCGTAACGTTTGCTGTACACTTCGGTTTGCAAAGTTATTTGACTGGAAATTTCAACAATTTTGAGTTCAAGAATTTTAAATTGGGGTATTTGGATAAAATCGACAAAACAAACATTACTGAAGAGCTGATCTTGAAAAAGGTAAGTACATATTTTCTTCTAGATTTTATTATTATTAAATTTTACTTTTTTTTATCAAACATCTAAAACTATCTAAAGAGAACAATTAGAAAAAAATATTAAGCAATCCGTCTCACAAACTACTCACGATAATGCAGCCAAATCAAAGTAATAATTATGCGATTTCAACATGCCAAAAGTGTTATGTAATAAGTAAAAATTATATAATATTATGCTATATGCATTCAAATATGAAAAAACTTGATACTTTTAATGTTTAAAAATTAAACATCAAACAATCTAGAATAGCTAGGAAAAAATTTTGGTTTTGATAAACGTCTCCTGATTAAATTAGAAAGAACAGTTAAAATTACTACGAGTTTTAAAGATTTTCATAAAATCCTCACATTCTTGCCGAAAATAAGAAATCAATTTAATCCTTCCAATATTTTATTTATTAAACAAAAGGTACAATATTTATAATGAAGGTTGCTGACACAAATCCCAATTTGATACTACAACGTCCTCTGACAATATGGGGGCCACGTTTCAACAATACATGCGCTCTTTACGTCAACGCTTTCAACGTGAAATTCAACAACCAATATTGGCAAGTACAAAACTACCCAAACGAAACGTTTTACTTGTACGGCGCCTACTTTGATGACCGGGTGGGTCTGAACGACACTGGTCCCTTTGTCCGGATCATCGGAATGGTGGATAAGAGAGACTACTTCAAAAATCTCTCGTGTCAATTCTGGTTCAAGGATCAAGATGTACCAAAATTTGGAAATGTAAAATGCATCGATTAACTCACTAAAATCATAAATATTTTTTTTAACAATGCAAAACTCATAAATATATCCCGAATTTATATATAGATTACTGAGAATTTTAATTTGTGGCCCAAATATTGGGGAAACGCGCACGCCAAGCTGCACCCCTACATATTTAGCTGCAAATGTCCCTTCAAAGATCGTGTACCTGAGTCCGTCTCGTTGGTGATCAACCCTTGTGACAATGCCACAAACAACCTGAGGGTCATCAACAACCAACTCAAACTTAAGAAAAAGCAAAATTTCCTGGTTTGTGTGAAAGGCCTGAATTACAGGCACAAGGCAGACTTTTCAATCAGGCTGGTTGAGTGGTTGGAAATGCACAAAATTTTGGGAGCTGATAAAATCGTCATATACGAGCTGCAGGTAAATAAAAAATATATTTTGTTAATTTGTAAATTAATCTGACGTTAAATTTTAAAGGTGCATCCAAACACCTCAAAAGTTTTGGAACATTACGTACAATCTGGGTTTGTGGAATTGGTCAAAACTTCATTGCCTGGTTTCTACAGCAACGTGCCTGACTTAATGTCCTTCTTTTTGGTGGAAAATCTTCATGTCCAAGTTTTTCAAGAAATCATCCAGTACAACGATTGCTTGTACAAATATATGAATATGTACAATTTCATCGTGCTGGTTGACATGGACGAGGTGAGCTTTCACAATAAAATTATTATGGATTCTATCCTTAACCAGCAGACAAAATCAGAATTTTCAACTTATGAAAGAATAATATATAATAAAAAAAGAGAATTCAAATAATTAAGTCCTAGAACTAAAGGATGTTAAATTTAATACATAGAACATACCAAATTTTTATGATTCTTTTTTTAAAGAAATTAAAGGACCTATTGTACTGCAGGTGATTTTGCCGTTGAGCTCTGACACGTGGTACGACCTGATTTACAAAAAGACCATCCCAAAAGTCAATGTCACTGAAAAAACACCTGCAGCCTTTGTGGCGCGAAACCTGATTTTCGTTGACGACAAGGCCGAAATAAAAGACTGGTACCCTGACATTCCCAAATACATGCACCTCCTTCAGAATGTCCAACGCAACGTGAACTACACGTTTCCACCTGGGGACGGCGTCAAGTCGTTCCACGACCCGCAAATCGTTTTTGCCATTCACAACCACCTGCCCAGAAAATGTATCGGTTACACCAATGACTGGTGTCCAGTACACGACTTTGACCTGAAGGACGCGCACATGCAGCACTACTGCACTGGGAAGGGAAAAAACGAGTGCAAGTTGCAAAGGGGCATCAATTTGTCGGTGGACACTTCCATTTGGAAGTTCAAGGACCGGTTGATCAAGGCAACTAGCCAAAGGCTGAAAGAAATTGGTTTCTTTTAAAAATAATGCAAGTGTGTCTTTTTTTTTATATTTCAGCCTTGTAAAAATACCTAAAACTAAAATTGTTGGATTTTTTTTTATGTTTTTAATAAAAAGAATTTTCGCAAATTTTTGCATTTTCTTTGTAAGGTGATACGGAGCAGACTCATTTGACTAAATTTTTCAGGGTGGAATTTTGAAATTGGTTATTTTCTTTGCACGTCGGAAAGAAGCAAAAATTATGCATAGCGATATATACTAAAAAATTAGATCTTATTTTCAGAAAAAAACTATTCCAAAAAATATAAACAAATAAAACCAGACGACACATTGGCTGCGTCAAACAGGAAGAGGTATTCCGTGCTATGCTTGACGTTGCTCTGAAAATCTAGGTAAAAAAACAATTCCATTTTTCAACTGAAATGCCTTGATGTATAACGAGCAAATCAAAATGGCAAATCAAATGGGGAATAGCAAAAAATTAAAAATTTTCATTTCTTTTATACATATATAGCGCTTATTATCTAAACGTTTTCCATACAACTCAGTTTGCAGAGTTATTTGAATGGAAATTTAAATGATGTGTTAAAGAGTGTAAAATCGGATTGTAAATAATACTTTTTATTTTTTATATTGTTTTATCATGTACAAAAACACTCATGCTCTTTGAGCCTAATCGTAATTACTTATGCGGAGGAACTATCATAAATACTACTTTATCTAGATGTTGGAAAACTTTCCAAACTATCAAAAATCGTGCATAACCACTTTCTAGACTGAACTCTACATATTTACAGTGGTTTGATTCTAGTAAATATATTTTAAGAGCTTTGAACAATATAAAGTCAACGTGTGCAGTTCTTCAGGCACGTTAAAATTTGGCAGCACTTTATTGATTTTTCCTGTTGTGTCTCTTCCGCCTCATGGCTCCTGCCTGTCTCAGCAACTCGACGTTTTCGTCCTCGCTGCACGACTTGACCAGTTCGTCCACTTTATGGAGATAACGTGGGGCCAATGATAGGCCGATCATGGTGATAACTGAATAAAAATAATTACAATGGTTTTGAATTAAGAATTAAACAAGAGAATTACTGTTTAGTAAACCAGGGAAGATCACGTAGAATCCAAACGGCGCCGTTTGGAAGATGAAACACTCAGTCAGGTGCACCATCAGAGTCAGAATGAGTGAGAAAATCGTTAGGCTTATCAACCTAAAAATGATAAAAATTAAATTTGAGACGAAAATCGACTATATTTTAATGACAAAATATATTAATAATTATAATCAGATTATAGTATAGATAATTCTTTCGAAAAATTTTTGTGAAAAAAAAATGATGTGTTTATCTAAATTAAATTTAATCTTTAAATAAAATGATATAATCATGTAAACGTTGATTTGATTAATGAATCAATCCTTTGAATCCTTTGAAAGTGTAAATAAAAATTTAATTAACTCACGGTCTGTAATGAATGAAGAGAGCACAGTGGATCAAAATTACAGCTTTCATTATGGCGTATGCGCCAATAATTCTTGTCAAAGCTGGGTCTGAAGATAACGCTCAATTATTATAAATTTCCAAATCTGAATATATGACCAGCTAAACATGGAAGTCGAGCCGGTTGCCTACCCACCTTGGTCGCCGGCAGCAGCTTGGTTGGTGGCGTTGGCGCCGACCACGATCACGTCGTCGAGGAACGTCCGTTTGTCGATGAAGCAGCGGAAGGCCGTGCCCAAGTCCATGAAGGCCACAAACGCGATCCAGCCCCGAAAGGCGTACATCAGTTTCTCGCCAATCTCAAATCCGAACATTTTATGGCCCCAGAGAGGATTTTTTCCGCAAGATTAAAAAACTCTGTTTTGTTCGGAGGGCATTCTTGGATATAAACACCTTCCCCAGCTGGCTGGCCGTTGGCACGTGCGCCCTCGAGCCGCCGCCGACGCGCATTCGCAGACGGGGTTGGCTCGAGATGGGTCGTCGAACCCCAGGATTGTCATTCTGACACACTTTCTCCCACAGAGCTAAAAATTAAAATAAGAAAACACCGGATATATTTCTATCGTTCTCTTTTATTGCACTTTTCTCCAACATTATCTTCAACTTCTTTTTGCTTCACAAAATAGCTACGATATATAAAACAATAATAGTTACTCTAACATTATTTTCCTGTTTGGTAGATGTTAGTGGAAATACAGTCGCCAAATTTCACAATACACCCTTAGCAAAAATTCCATCGATTTTCAATGACGGCTCTTTGAGCAATAAACCCTTTCCAGAAAAACAAAAGCTCCTTTCCACTTTTCAATAATTAGGGCCGTGCTTTCCATGATATTACAATAGTGAATACTTTCTAGTTTCATCAATGTGGTACACCTTCACTTTGACGATAATTAATACGCCTATTTGCTATACAAGCACAGCCAAAAATGAAGTATATAACTTTTCTTTTTGCATGATTACTTAACATAGTCACAATTTACATAGTCGTTAAAACTTTCATCTCCTCAACTTTTACATAAGGTCAGTCAATCAATGTTCAACAAAATTTTGTTTATCGAGTTGCACTTTGCAGATTAAATTTCTCTCAAATGCATTTTGCTTTGCACACATTGTAAACCGGCAGGTGGTTCCAAATTGAATTTTCCTCCTATTCGCCCAACCTGCAATTTTTTCAAGTCATTTGTGCACTGAAATGCGCAGAGATCTGCAGATTGGCCTATTTTGAATAATAAATTACGGCTGCTGTCATGGAATAATATTTGGTTAATTTGAAAGTGCAACTTCTTCCGTCTGTCCTAAAGTGAAATATACAAAGTTCTTACATTCTACAATGATGTCTGGTCAACAGCCATTAAAACAAAAATAGTTTACACTTTAATATTTTTTCTCCTGGCGATGATCAAGTGCTTTCTTCGGTAAATATCAACAAACATTCATAATATAAATACGACCCTATTCACAAAGCCAGCACTTTAGTCGGCGGCAAAGAACTGCAGTATCGCCCGGCCGGGGATTTCGCAGTGGCACAGTTTCTGAATCACTTCGGTCGCCTGATCTGCTGGGAATACTGAGTGGGGAGGTGGGATGATCTGGAAATTGACAAAATTAAAATTCGAACCTCGCAATGTAATTTAAATTTTGTACCTTTCCGTTGCTAACAAGCTCAACCAGTTCCTCGAGTTGTTCTATCGAACCCATGTCGACTGGGCGGATGCATTGCTCCTTTTCTTCGGCCCTTTTGCTGAATTTGGGCATCAACCTTTCAGCCACCTCAGCACTGATGAACACAACTCCACCCTATAATTCAATTTTTATAAAAATCTATCTTTTTCATTAAGTTAAAATTACTTTGTTCAGGCATTGCAGGGACCTGTGCAGACTCCTCGAGGTAGTACCAAAGTCAATGACGATATCGACCTCGCCCTTGCAAGAGTCAATCGTCCGCTCAATGAGTTGCTTCTCATACACATCCTCATTCCACTGAACCAGGTTCACTCTAATTAAAAATTTTTGTGTCAATAAATTATTTTAAATTTATTTAAAAATAAAAACCTGTGGTTTTCCTTGGCAAGTTGGAATCCCTCGTCTCTGAGAGTGGCGACCGAAATGCACATTTGATTTTCAATGTCCTTGAACTCGTAGCTGACAATTCTCAAGGCCCACAAGGCGAGACCACCAGTGCCGACGACCAAAATCTTCACTCGGGCTGAAATATTTCCAAAATTAAAATCAGGCTTATTTTCAGATTAAAAATTCTGACCATTTTCGCCTCGCTCTTTCAAAAGTTGGTCTGTGTATTCCCTGGCGTGGATGACTGTGTTCATGGCAAGTAGGGCTCCAGTAGGCAGCATGGCAGCCACACTGAGGGGGACTCGGTCTGGGACCTTGACCAGGTACTTCAGATCTTGGACCGTGATGTACTCGGCATATCTGATGGCGAGAGGAAAAATCGATTTTATTTACAATTATTAAATTATTATATTATTTTATAGTTCAAAAATAACATGAATGATAAACAAAAATTGTTGTAATTTCATATATTTTCTTTTAGATTTGTGTGAAATAAAGAGATGTGATATTTAACATTTCGCTCTCTTTTAAAAGCAAGTAATTAAATTGACAATTAAATGGAAATAATCCAAACGAATTTTTGCAAACATTGCGTGTTTTAAATATTTAATTACCGATTTATCTTGTCAAACATAAAATTATTAAAAAGAAAAAAAATTCCCAAAGAACTATGATTTTTAGAGAATTATTTTATTGAATTTAGAATGTCAAAGGGTGTGTTTCTCTCTTAAAATAAAAATTCATTAGATCACGTAAAAATTTCAAATTTACCATAAAATTGTTCTATTTTGTTCTGTATGAATAAAAAATAATTAAAAAATCAACAAATTTTATAGATGACTCACCCATGAGGCACTCCCTCGTAGGGAAAGATAACGACCCTGTCTCCGACCTTGAGCGGGCTGTCGACGGTGGCCTCGGAGCCCAGCGACTCAATGATGCCGGCCACCTCAAAGCCCGGGTAGAGGGCAGCGTCCCTCACGCCCTGGTGGGCCGGACTTTGGTACAGCGGCAGGTCAAACGACTTGTCCGACGAGTTGGACGAAACGGAGCAAAGCGAGGGCGTGCGGTGCAGCCGGTAACAGGCCCCGGCGCACGCCACCCTGATGCGCGCCCCGCGGGGCGGCACGTCAGGGACGGGCACCTCGAAACTGAAGACGCAATCCTTGATGGTCGCGCCCGGAGACTCGATGCTCACTTGGCGGCAAAGTTTGTTCATTTTGTCTCCGCAAGCAAATCTGCCAATCACAAATTTCAAAAAATGGATGAATTTTTTACCATCAATGAAGTTTTATATAAATATTTTTAAACCTAAAAAAATAATTTTAAATTGTTAATTTTTCTGTTTTTCCTACAGCTTTGAAGAGAATTTAAAGATAAAAGTAAAGTGGAAAGAGAAAAAAGAAAAAATCAATTTCCTGCCTGTACTTCAAGATTGATTAGAACAGATCGGTTCAATACTTATTCAATCGATGATCAAGGGCAAGTAATATTGGTTGGATCGGGTTATTTGATTAATATTTTATCTAATCAAACATTGCAAAAAAATCACGTTTTTAAATTGCCTGCGTGTGTTTGTAGTCAGCCGACGATAAGGTAACCAAGCTAGCTTGTGCAATAAAAATTAAATGTATTAAAAAATAACTATCAACGTTCCACAAGGAATTTCGTATATTCTAATTAAAATTCAATTTAAAAAATCAATACCTATGGCTCAAACTTGCAGTTATTTTTGGGAAAAATAAAAATTTATTATTTTTGTAATGATAAGTACTGGTTATGTCAGGAAAAAATAGGCTTCCTTTTTAAAAATAGTCCAAGTTTCCATTAAAAATAATTTAATACTTTAAATAAAATTAATTAATAATGTTAAATAAAATTGTTTTCATATCTAATCAATGCAGGCCAATGCTTTATTTTGGATTTTGTCTCTTCAGCATCCAATTTACTCATAAAACATGATAAAGCATTTTCACCATCACAAATTATAATTACAAAGTTCAATTAAAAACAGTTTTGTATTGAAATAAAGTTAATCTTTTTTTGTTATTTTGCCTCTTCGTCTGTGTGTAATTAGGTGACAGACCTATTAAAACAAGCGTCTGCTCCAAAAATAGACCACTGCACTTTTGAAAACGACAAGAGACGAGAGATAAAAGCGGTCGGGAGCAATTCTGAGAGCCTTGGGAAAATTTAATGAGCTGTGGTGTAAAAGCGACAACGCCACATTCCTATAAACTTTCTTCCCTCATTTCTCGGCTCATTCGCCAGGAAATTCATCACTAGTAAAATTGCAGAAATTGCAGCGGTTATTTCCATCCGAACCGCATTCAAGTATAACTACTGCGTTTCTAGATTATTATTGGCGCCAAAAGAGCGCAATAAACAAACAAACCATTAGAGCTGTGAATATATCTGACCTGCTTAAGATTAAGTAGAGAAAACGCAGAAAATTAAAAGTTGTGATATGGCAAGTTATTTTTTCTTAATTTCTAAATTTTTTGTCTTGCTAGCATAGCTATACATGGCAAAAGATTTTTTTACTTAGGCAAATTTTTTGCCCTACAGTCCAAAAATGCAGTTTTCATCTCAATAATTTGATGAAATTTCTTATTTATGTACAAAATTAGTCAACAATAATATTACAGTTTTGTTCAAGCATAAAGAATTATTTTTTATTTAAATTTCCATCAAAACACCACTGCTTTCTTCCATTTTTGAATTAATTGCGATAAATCTAGTGCTTTAAGATTAAACTTTTAAGATTGTTGGGTTAATAATTGAAAAAGTGCCAAGTAAAACTATTGAGGAATTTAGCTTCCATTAAAGCTGCGCCTCTGGATTTAAAGGAAGTGTGGGGGTGATAAAGTTTCAAGGTCGGGAATGAGAGTGAGCAGTGTATTGATCTTGCACTGGTGTTCACTGGAGGGTTGCAAATAATATCGTGTTTCATCATTTTAGAAACATAATAAAAAAAAAAGGCAAGAATTTGTAAAAAACGATAAAACAAAATTAATCCATCAATTAAATATACTTGACTTAAAAAAATATAAATTATTTTCAAAGATGCGATGAATTATTTAAAAAAAAAAATAAGAATTGCAAGGATTGCATAAAGAAAACTGATAACAATTGAATAATGCGAAAAAGAACAAAAACTTAAAGCAAACGTGGTAGGTTTGGTTTTTTTTTGTTTGTTCAAATAATTGTAGGTCACCGAAATATGAAGTAATTTTTGACAGAACTCCTTATCATTTTGGTTAGATTTTTACTAAAAAGTACGGAATAAATGCAATACTATCTAATTTTATGTTGAAAAATGCGAAATTAACCGAATTGCTTTACTTTTCTCACTACTATACTTGTAAAGCCTCGCCTCAATTTTCACTTTCCGCAGACACTCGAAGCCGCACAAATGTAGCGCCTACCCAGACCGAGAATACGCGCCTCTTGTTAAAAACGAAGACAAATATTTTTTAAAAACTCTAGAATGAAACCCACCTTTTGCTCACTGTAAAAAATTCAAAACTGGAATCAGCGGATCCTTGGCTGGAACTGCGTAGTAGTCGCAGCTGTGAACGAGCGGGTTATGAGCTGCGAGTGTTATTGTGGCCTGGGTGCATGGGACGCAATGCGCCTGCCTCGCTCGCGCGCCTCACTATTGATCCACCGCCTTGCACGTGATCGCCGAGTGATCAACCCGTCCAGCCTGCATGCCTCGAGTGCATGCATTATTTTTTCTCTTTCGTTCGCTATAAACACCTAGTTGCAATGTATTCCCCCTAGGTGCCCATTTTTTTTATTGTCTCGCGGTTTACGTCAGTCGCCTTTTTTTCTGCGTCGTCCCTTCTTCTCCACGGTGGTAAATACACAAGTAATTGCACGCGTTTTGTCTGTCAAAGTGTGAAGCGAAAGAAAGAGAGAAAGAAGGATCGAGCGCGCACACACGTGGTTTCCTTTGTGCCCTCCACGCCGCAGTCAGGAAGTCGCACTTCCAGTTTTTTTATTTACTTTATCTAGAAATTTATTTTCTGCGTCGCTTTTAACTTGAGTGCAAACACGTTAAAAATAATAACAATCGCAAAAAGTGATCTCTGTGGAAAATAATTTGCAAAAATAAAGCTTTCGAAGGATCTTGCAAAATTCTAAGCTCAAAGTTAAAAGATTGTTCTCCTTTTGCCTAATTTGAAATAAGATAATAATGATACAAAATTCACTCAGGAACCTATGTATCATGAATAGATATTAACAATTAATTTTTTTTTAAATGTAAAAAATGATCATTTTCAATTATTATGATTTTTTAAGCCTTTAATCGTGTAAGCAACGTTATCATCATTACCAATACCATACATTAAATAGCAGGTAAAAAATTGCGAAATATTATGATTACTAAAATTATATTTTTCAATTGAAAATATTGTTTTGAAGAAAGTTGGCCTTTGATGAGACCAGAATAAGATAAGACATTTGTTGTTAACACAGTATTTAAAATTTAAATTAAAAATTATTATTTATTTAATTAGATGCTTTGATGGTTACATTTATTTATTTAAATATCCAATATTTATTGTAATTTGACATTTATCTTTAATAAATTAAAGATATATGCTAATTTTATTGCTTCAAATTGAAATGAAATTTTAAATGCCACAATTTGAGCCAAAATTATTACAAATATAAATTTACCTTCTTCTAAAATAATTTATTCCATATAAATATCGATTATAGTCCAGGAAGGTTAGTTTTTATTGCAAAATGTCATTATAAGTAAAAAATTCGCTAAATTTCCCGAAGCCGCAAAGTAGGACTAATATCCATGTTTAAAAAAAGCGCGTGATTTTTTGCAATAATGGTTATTTTTGCAGTTTTTAAATTTGTGCATTAAATAGGAAAATACTAAAATTAGGAAATCTTGGGCTAGAGGTATATTCAGCAATTTAGACTTGTAATAAAGTTGTAAAAACTCATAATAAATTAACATGAAATGAATTTTCTATTTTCTTATTTTCAAATTAGATATTATTTTTGGATATAATAGGTATTATTGGCAGTTTTTTTTCTATTTTAGCTCTGTCAATTTATAATTTCTTTGTGCATTAATCAATTCTTCTTTCCTTTGATTCCTAGCTCAATCAAATTTGGAGAAGATTTTGGAAAAATTTATGTTATATTAATTTTAAAATTTGTGCTCAATTTTTGCACAAGTTCAAGTGCTGGTTGCAAAAAGCCCTCTCACAATTGCGTCATTCTCTCCATTTTTAATTGTCACCTGATTTTGCTTTCGAACACCTGCTTACTAAACAGCTTTTGAGCGAATTACGCAATGGTAAAAGTTATTACGAAAAGAAAAACAACGAAAACTGGCTGCTCCCCTTTGTGCGACGAAAGTTGGTGAAAAGGAAGTCGCGCGATCAGCAGAGCATTACCTAAAGAAAAAAAACGTATCACCGGCCGGTCGCGTGCACTCGCAGACGGGCTGGCTCCTTTTGGTGTTGACGACCTCCGTCGCACACCTTCTCTCCTTCTAGCTCTTTCTCTATACACGCCAAATACACTTTTCAAATTCACCTTGGCGAGCCGAAATTTATTAAAAATAATAATAATGAAATTCATTTTTGAAGATGGAGGATCGCGTAGATTGATTTCGTTATTTGTACCTTTCGGTCTTATCTGGACAAAACAACACTCCAGATTATCGACTCAAAAGCGCATTTTGTTTGCTTTGATTTGGTCCCTTTTGCTCTGCTTGTTTGTTTGCAGTGATTGTTGCAGAAGTGACTCTATAAATAGTTTGCAGCTGATAAGGCTTTGCTTAAACAATGCAAAAAAAAATTTTAAATTAAAGTCAATTTTTTATAACATATTTTGTACTGATTATTCTTCAATCTTTCAATAAAATGCATAAATTATTTTCCTCTTTTACAGTCGTGACCTCTGCTTTTTTAATGCGTAGCGCGCACTTCGTCGGCAACATAAACAATTTCCCAAGAATACTGTTTTGTTTTTGAAGTTTTTATTTTTTATTTACATTTAAAGTTTCAAGTGCTCACAAGTACTATTTTTTTTTTACATTTTCACAATTTATTTAAATTTTTCATCGACATTTCAATTCAAATCTGGTAAAAATACAAGAATTGCAAGGTATCCTCAAAAAAATTCAAATGAAAACTGTCTCTTCATATTTAAGTTTCTAAATGATTTTTGAACTGCATTTTTTTCAATTTTTTGGCATTAAAACTTATTGTTAGCAGATGTAAGAAATTACTATTGTTTATTTTATTCAGAGTGTTTCCCACTACATTTATTTTTTTGTTATTTATTTTTGAATTTTAATATTTACAAAGTAAATAAAAATTCATTTATTTTACTGTTTAAATTTTAGACAAAAAATCATTTGTATTGAATTTTAATATAAAATAATATTTTGAAAGTGAATGAAGAATCCATTGTCTGAAAAATACAACCAGCCTTTTTGTGACGAAGTTCAAAACTGTGTCGCGGTGCAGCTGATATGGAGTTATTGATCTTTCACACGTGAACCGAGAGAATAATAATTCTGTAGTAGTGAAACAGTTTCAAGTGTTGCCATGAAGATCGTGCTCAGCTCATGTATTATCTAATTAGGTCCGTTCGCGTTTCAAAACAAACCGATTGTCGATTCAATCTCTCGAGCGCATTCAACTGTGACGGCGATAAAATTTTTAAGAATATTAACGAGTTGGCTGCATATGCAAGTGCATCGATTGTAGCGACAACAACATATGCATAACTTGCATTTAAATAGGACGGCTTTAAGGTCTCGTGCGTGCGTAAGTCAGAGCACAGTGGAGAGTGCGAGAACTTGTGGCCGACCTTCGCGCTCACGTTACCAAAGTGACACATTGATGTTCCCCAGCAATAATAATAATAATTACATGCATAGCGCTTTAACGAGTAGGCCGTGTTTGCGTAATTCTGATGCGCTAAAGACGCATATATACTCGTTTGGCTCAACTCTTTACCTGTGAGTCATCAAAATATTCATAAATATAAATCTTCACAAATTGTTCAAGCTGAAAATTTATATAAATATTTAATATTTTCGTTTACATAAATTATAATTTTTATATAAAGAATATAATTTTTTTTACAAATATAGAATTGGTTTAATTCAGGAATATCTTTTGAAAAATTATTTATTTATTTCTCTACTAGGTTAAAAAGAAAAAAAAACAATTTTAAGTCACTCTCTAATGTGTGATATAAAAGCTATGCTCTTCCCTTTAAAATTGATTTATTTAATTGGTTAAGAGTGCCTCATAAATATGTGAAATTTCAAACTTGGAAATGAGGAAAATATGAAGTTATATAAAAAGTCTGACGTCTTAAAAGTGCAAGATGGACAAATTGAATTTGTGTCTCAGAATTTGATTATTTTCAATTGACACTTTTCAATCGTCTGGCCTCTGGATAATTCAGAAATCCTCTATCTTACTTAACTTCTCATTTTTTGTTCCCCGAAGTCTACAAATTGACTTTCACCTACTAAAGTCTATAAAATTCAGGCTATTTCAAACCTTCAATGGCTTTTGCGTGAGAGGTTAAAAAATTTAACGGGAAATATTATACAAGTTTTTTTTTTCTGAAAAATATTGCTGATTAATTGATAAATTTGACTGACTTTTAGAAGTATTAAAATTTAGAAAACATATTACATAGCTAATGAGAATAATTGTAAATATTTGAAAAACAAAAGTTGAATGTAACCCGGGAAAACAAAAATGCATAAAAATTATTTTGATCGGATTTTTTATCAACAAATACTGAAATTTGAAATATATTTCCCACTTATTTTCAGGCGGAGCGTACAAGTTTGCTCGTTTGGCGCAAGATCGCGTCTTCGTCCACTTCAAGACGCCCGTCCGGCAGCTCCACTCTGTCCAAGTCGGACGGACGGACAAACGGGTTATTATTAATAACCGACCGGAATGTTTGATAATATCTCGAAATAGCCACGCTCAGGCTACATAATGATGAGTAACGCTGCCTATTTATAAATACACGTGAGCCTGCAAAAAAACAACGCCCCGGACAAAATCTGAACGTTCCGTTTGCTCCGAGTTTGTCACTGGTCGTAAAGTCACAAATTTTTTGCTGCGAGTCTCGTTTCAACTTTTTGCGCAGGAGGTTTTCTAAAGGAAGAGACGGCTGATGGGTAAATCGTGAATTTGCTCTGTGATTTATGACCTAAGAGGATTATTTGTATAAGATTTTGTGATGAGCATTGTTTTGCTTTAAGAAGCTTTTCACAAGCGCAGTAATTTAATATTTATTACCAATGATTCGCATTTTTTTTAGTCTTTTCTTGAAATATCTTTCAACTGCTGGGGTTTCCAATGGGATTTGATAAGGGGAGATATTTAATAGGTTAAAATTTAAATAACCAAGGTAAACTAGATGAAATTAGGATTACTCAATTCCACGAAATCCCGCTAAAATTATAAATTAATATAAATTTTATACAATTATCCAATTATATCAAACAAAGTATAATCACTAAGCATTACATTATTATAAAATAAGCCAAATTTACACTGCAGGTTACAAAATTTGTCTGGGTACGTTTCAACAACACAGTTTGAGTAATGCAATAAAAACATAACTATTAATAAATATATA